TTACCCTTCAGACAAAAACATATTTGGAACTAGACTAGAGAACATTATCTGGATAAATTAGAGTTGCTTCTGTAAAAATTACCTAGGCCACTGTATGGTGTATGTGATGGTCTGGATATCAGTCAGGGACGTATTGTTTTTTCTGTCTTATTGAAAGGCCATCTTTCATGAAACACATTCATTTTATTGCCCCAAGGTTTCTAAGTGTTTACACAGCATGAAACTGGACTGAGATATGGATTCATGTTCACGAAACATTTTTTATTTGAAAAGTGTGAAAATGTGCATTAAAACAGAGAATTACTAAGTCTAGTCTTGGCCAGCACAGTCCTACAAAGACCTTGTTATGATTAAATTACTAATATTTAAGGTGGAACCCAAACCAGAATTAAAACCAGTCTGTGTATGCACCCTGTATGTGCTAAGCAGTTGTGCACTGGGGTGTTATCACGGGTACTGCTACAGCATAGTTAATAGTTCATGCCCATTTATTAATGGGTTTAAATGGACATGCCTGTTAGGCCTTCTTAAATTACAGGGCTGTAAACTCTTTACTGACTGACATCTTTCTAAACAGCTGGGACAGTCTCCTTAACATGTGAAAAAATTAGCAGAGAAATGTGGTTGGTTTACACAGACACTTAATTTCAGGGGTTTCATCAATTTTTTCCCAAAAGTTAAATGATTTCTATAGGTCTGTTGCATTCTACTTAGCTCCAGTTTGCATTGCAAGATTTGTATTATTCAAACAGCTCAGCTATGCTTGACAGTTACTCCACCAGTAACACAGGGCACTGAGCTCTCATCCCCTTTGTGAAAATAAAGATATCACTCTGCTTTCATCTGTCATGGACCAAAGGCAGAGCCTTTTCCATTTTCAACAGCTGTACTGCTTAGCAATTAAAAGTGACATTTTTAAACACATTTGCATGTTATTACACTCTCTTCAATGAAGAAAATCCTCTTATTTTCACAACCATTCTCATCACACAGGTCCACGCAGCAATTATCCGTGACATAACAAGTTATGAACTAAGTTCTCTGATTTTCCAATTCCTTATTCCCAGCATATAAATACATTTTTAACTGATGAATTCAGGCAATTCTCACAAGCATAATAAATTGAAATTCTCTTGACAGAGAGCTTGCATATGTTTTAAGAAAAAATGCAATAAATTAGGAATCTGCCGTTTGTAGGAGAACTATAGCCTCTTCTTGAGTTTCAATGTTCATTTGTTGAATATCAACATGCTGTTTAAGAGACTGTATCAAAGAAAGGTGCTACTTTTTTTTCTTAGCCCGAGAAGTTATGAATACATGAATCGAAAAACAAGAATCTTGTAATAGCATAGGGGTCAGAATTGCAACAGAAGACAGCACAGTCCTTCCCTCAGTGGCTCTTTCATACTCTCCCAGATTAAAGGCATTTTAAATGTTAAGAATAAATATACACTTTGCTTCCAGGAAGTGCATCAAAAGACACTATTTAATTATTAACAATTATTAAAACTGAAAATAATCATTTATAGATGAAGATTAGGCCAGAATGGTTAGAAGATTCAAAGTAAACAAATTTGTATGCCATTAGAAATTTAATCCCTGCTATAAACTATTAAAGAACTAGATATTAAAATAGAGTATTAGAATATCAGGGCTGCAGTTAAAAAGCACTAATATGCATGCACGGAACTGCAGTATTGGCATAGATGCAACAGCGCTTCTGTTTCTCTGTCAATCTCAAAGTTCAAAGAAGAAGGAAATACAAGTAGAGAAGGGAGGCAGAGCTACTTGTAATTAAAAAGAAAAACAATTAAAGACGCTAATAAGATAAAAATTGCAAATGAAGTGGGGACATTCTTGCCTATCTGGTCTATAGTAACTAATTGATCCAAGCTTTCTTGACAGAAGCTAGGGTATCAGCTTCAACAACATGTTTGGACAGATTGTTCCAGACTCCCACAAATCTTTGTGTAATGATCTCCATTTCAAATACACTTCCATGTAGTTTCCAATTTTGTCCTCTGGTTCATGTTTCATTATTTAAAGTGTAACATGGAATCTGACAGAACTGGGATAATTTAAAACAGAAAGGTCCAAAACATACATACAGTACAGTACATACCGTACATGTGGTATGTTTAAGCAGCACACTAAATTGCACTGCAACTTCCCAAATGATAATTCAATACTTGGACATTGTTATGCTTATGGTATATAAATTTGCAGCCCCTACATAAAAATGAAAAGTCTTTTGGGATAAAAGGGATATTAAATGTATTTTCTGACTGGTTCTACACAACAGTCCCTCTACCAAGGAAAAGTGTAGAAAAACTTAAACCGGTGATATAGTCAATTTTTTGCACTGGTTAATAAATATTGTGAAGAACAGTGATTTGAAACAGAATAAAAATCCTCTCATTTCCTTTTTGTTTTCCTGTTTGATATAAATATTATTGCTCAAGTAGTCACTATATACCTTATAATTGACCTTAACTTGATTCTACGCCTGTTTTCAACAGTAATGGGAGAAAGCAACCACTGGTTTTACTGTTCATAGAACTCCACATTCATTCAATATCTGATGATACGAATGTTTTTTCCTCAACTGAACTGTTGGAATTTTACAGTAAAGCTGCTCAAATGGTATTTACTGTATTGCATGCAGACACAATTTGGAATCCTTGACACTAATAGATCCAGATTCATTGCTCCAACAAAACATTCTAATGCAATCAAAATGAAAAATCAAAAAAATATTTTTTTAAAGACTTTCTCACTCTGACTGCGTCCTGGGCATCACGAACAGTGAAGCTGTTAACTGGAGCAAAGGCAGTGTGGACACTGACCTCAGCTCTGTATTTCTAGTTTTTTCAAAGCCAGAGATAGTCTTTGTAAATGCACCATCTCAGTAATATAAGAAAGAAGTGATAATTGAAGGCGGTTCAGCTTAATCTTGAGTGTGAGGTGATAATTTGGTAAGAAACATTGATGGTAATTTCCTGCCCCTGGTGTTCAGCAAGCAGCAAAGTCTATAGATACAGAACCATTTCCAGAAATAGTTTTCAACACCACAGTAACACAGGTTGGTCAACAAGTTAGAAGTCTGCATGTGATCACAAACTTTAAAAATAGCAGAAACTTTAGCGCATTTGCAGTCATTAGGAAGTAGTCCAGCCATCAAAGAGTGGTTATTAATAGTATGCAGGGGTGTATAATCTTCAACAAAAGTTTGAGAAAATACCCCTACAACTAATCAATTCCTTATGCCTTTCTGGTCTCTTACCAAGATAAACATTTGTGCATCTGATCCTTATGTGTGTTAATGAACTCAAAGTCCATGTCACATTTTGCATTCCCAGAGGGCTCTAGCTGCTTTTATGCCAGCTCAAGAAATCATTAGAAGATAATAACTGTCCTTTAAATTAAAACATCTTAGCCATAACCAATTAAGGAAATATTGTTGTGAATTGGGCTGGCCAATTTGCTTTCTTGAAGAGTTATGTTTTATCTTCACCTTTCTTGATCTCTTATTCTCCTGTTCCTTTTATGCAAGATCAGCTGAATAATAATGTACTTTTTGGCAAAATCTGTAGAAAATAGTGTCATCTAGTTTACTAGTTTCATGCTGTTTATTTTTGTGCATGAAGTATGCTTTCTCTTTTCATTAAACACTGTTGCCAAGTCTGCCTCTTTAGATTTTTATCACTGTATATAATAGTATACTGTAAATACAACAGGTATACCTTTTTGAGAGATGACGTTAGATAACCATGGTAAGTAATATTCTGTCCTCTCTAAGTTCGTGGCAACAGCCCCTCATGTTGTAAGTCCCATGATTCCCATGATGACTGTACAGCAGTAGCAGCAGGCTACATTTCACATTTCCTCAGTAGGCTGTGTGATGGGAGAGAAGTACTATGTAAAGTACCTTATAAGAGCCATAAATATGCTCATGTTCACATACAGTATGACTATGTACAGTATGTGTTCAACCTCAGAACCTCACAGGGAGTGTTTGGCAGATTGCAAGCACTCTATCAGGAAATGCTGTTAGGTCCGCAAGAACCAAGGGAACGATGGAAGATTTCATGTCTTGGAAGCATAAACATTGCTTCATCTACACTGTATGGTGCTTTTCATACCAAGGGATCTAAAAGCTCTTTACATACTGTATAGCAGAACCCCACTGAACAATACCAGACCTCCTATGTCCACCTAATGGAATAGACACTGCAAGTCTTTCAGTTCTAGTTACCAATGTAGGTGAAGAGGACCCCTGTTGGTTGTTAAAAATTAAACATGGCACATATCATATTGCAAAATCACATCTGTAAGAGGTGGCCGGGTGTATTTCAGTTGGGACAGTTAACAGTTACAGTATTTATATGCCAAAAAATAAAGTTAACTGCTGTGCAACCTAAAGTATGGGCTGTAAATTAACGGGAACTGAAACGGTTGTCAGATGCAACAGGTGCAACCAAGTCTCTAAAAGTCTGGAGAACTCCACATGTAAGCATTGCTCAACATACAGAACAACTCAGCTACCTTCTGTACCAGTGCATATTCACAGGCTCTTACCTCTCATGGTTACGGCTGTTTTTTCAACAAGTTAGAAATGTCTCATGTGCTGCTACCCCCCGCAGTTTTCAGAAACATCATACAACCTGACTGTTTTCTCAAGAGTTCAGTTGGAGTAAAATGCAAACTATCCTGGACTATTCTTTCAAGACTGTATCAGGAATTGTTTGGCTTTCTGTTTGATAAGCTGAACCCCCCCTCACGCCTGGAGCATGTGCTGCTGGTCACAGTGCAGGAGTGACCTTGGCAATGCATCAGCTTCAGCTGATCCCACCCCTCACGCCCCATTCACATCAACGCTCTTCACTTTTTCTCAGCTGTTAGCTTGCTTCTGCAGACCACTGTCCCCTGATGTTCAGGTCACTCATACCTCAGTAACGGGGGGTTTCTCAATAACCAAATGTTCACAAAAGTTTTCTCACCCTTTGCCCTTCTTTGCCTGGAGCCCCTGGTTGACCTGCAGGCCCTGCTGGTCCCTGGAAATAAAAATATTATGAAGAATAACAGATCAGGTTCAATGGCTATAATTTTATGCTTGAAAGAAGAGTTTATAGCTTGTTGCTTCAAAGGCAGGTGCCAATGACAGATGTTCACTTCGGTCTCTGATTTTCTAACATGATTGTGACGGGAAATGAATAAATTGACTTCAGAGCAATAAAATTAGAAATAAAAAGTCATTACCTTTTCTCCAGCAGGACCAAGGGAGCCCTATTAAATGGAAAACAGATTTTAGTGAAAAATAAAACACACAGAGAATGGATAGCTTAAGTAACCTACTTATATTTTTATTCTGCACTATGTTTCAAATGAACAGTATAAAGCAATATATACTGTACAGTGGACAAAGCCTTAGTGTATGTATGCTAATGAAATCTGTATTTTGATTTTGGTCCTGAAGGCATGCATTGTTTTATATTCAGTTAATTGCTTCATTGAAGTGTAAAATATTTGCCTTGGTGTTAAATTAAATGTATTACAAAGGACTCAACCCACTTTCTCACGAATAATTGAGGCTACATTACTCACCTGCTCTCCCTTTTGTCCTTTAATCTGATTATAAAACAAAAAAACAAACAAATTGTAAGTATGTGTTAATATCATTTCAGACACTTCAAAACTGTAACTTACAATCATGCCTGGGATCTTGTTCTGAGCAGGTGAACAGAAGTTTTAATTATAAAGACATGTAGGTTGACATCAGTTTTAGCAGAACTCACTTTCTGGCAGCATGGCTAAGGTTAAGTATCTGGAGTGTCAAAGTTCACATTACCAATCATGTTGTAGACAGAGACATTTGCCATGAGGCAGTTGCGGTAAATACACAATGTTAATGTTCCAGTACTGTAGCTGTACATCCCAAATAAACAATATCATGTTTCAGACAGCAACCAATTGCACAGTATCTTATTTCAAACTGCATCCTCACAAATATGGCTGACTTTTCTAGGAAACAGCACAAAAATAACTGTTCATAACATGTGCCCAATATGTAAATGATGGATCTTGTTCTTTAAAACTGCGAAGAATTGAAAAACGGAGGGGATAAATCTTTTACTTTATTACAAACAATGCACAGCTCATCTTCTGTGACCGGCTGAAATATAATTCTGTGAGGGAAGTCTGGCTTCAGCAAATAAGACACATTCTGCACCGGGAGCAATATGGAAAAAACTAACTGTTCTTTCTCAATTAAGAAATGCAGTGCAACCAAATTCCTTATAAATTCATATAATTGCCCAATCGGCTTCAGAAAAGTTTACTTTTGCTTTAGTTAATCAAAAGAGATTTATTGTAAATGTTATTCATTTTGCACCCCTAGTCTTAACTAATACAACTAGAATTTCTTAGTGTCAATTTGAAAAACAACAGAATGGGTTTGAAAGAAAAGGGGAAAATATATAATAAATTCAAGTTAATATGCTTAACTACTCATTCAGAGTTCAGAATCACACCCATCAACACAGGAAAAAAAAGGCTAGAAAGCAAAATATTATTCATAATATCACACTCCTTCAATTCAGCCAATAACTCCTGTGTATTTAGAGCAACGAACAACAGTTATCTCTTTAGTACCAAAATTGTATACAGAGCAAGAGGGACTGAATAAATGTTGTTTGTGATTTGAACAGCTGGAATACACATCATTAAAACGGAGGTGAAAGTTTTCAGCATCAAATCTTGATTTAAGCCCTTGCAATACAGCCTGAAATGTGTTAACTTGTGGGTCCTGTGTTATGGCCAGGCCTGTGCTCCCTCTCTGTGTAGCCTCACTTAACAAGACTTAAAAAAATGGTATCCCAACTATCTGTGTAGTAAGCAGTTGCAATGTACTTTTGCTTGCAACGGTCTTAACCCCTGGCTTCTACATAAACACTCAGTGCCATCTGGGCAAGTATTTTGTGTCTCCCAAAAGGGATCAGTCTGAAGGAAGAAAGAGAAGGAGGGACACTGTCAGAGGAACCAGAAACAGGCTATCAAATGACAGCACATTTCACACTGGGCCGCAAGCAGACGAGCACACGGACTCTCGCCTGCCCCTCCTCCGACAGGCTCCAGGCACAGGATGTTAGAAGAGCAGCCAAGTGTGCCAGATCACCAAGGCTTTGCTGCCTTGAGTGATGTCATTCCGGGCTGGTCTTCCACACATCGCGCTCCACACAGTTCAGTAGGAAAATTTATATCGTATGAAAAGCTTTTTATGTTGTAAAGCAGAAACTCTGCACCACAGCACAACATTAATTATTATACTTCTGGGATTAGGCGAGTACCCTCCAGTAGTTTAATATTTACCATTCAAACAATGTGTTCTCATGAATTCTATATCTCTAACTGATATCAATAATTTCTGATCACTTCTCTCAGTGGCAGCTGTTCTTGTAGTGCTGTGGTTCTCAACATTATACCAATCTAAATGTAATTTTCCATATCACTGGGACAGGCTGGAACTGTGAAAGTAAAATATTATACTGTATGTACTTACAGCCAAGCCAGGAGGACCTGGAGGACCAGCTTCTCCCTAGAACAAAAAGCAAGAAAATATTAATTACATTTTTTCAGGTCAATTAAATTATTTTTTAACATACCCTATGAAGCACAAGTAAAATATACTGTATTTAAGTTTTCTATATACTGTATGTTTATTAAAGAGGGACTTTTAAAGTTTACATTTTGGTGACATTTCCAGTTTCAGTTTGAAAGTACTGTACATTGTGTGCATTTGGCTGCCAAAGTGATTGACAACTTGAAATAACGACTGTAAATTTACCACAGCTGTCCTGAGGTACACCTTGTTTGATCTTCTCCGATTTGCCTTGTGTGCCTACAGTATATCCGTCCCCATGCCCTACTTTTGCACTGGGCTCTTGGTATTGTTTTATGACCCAAGTACTTGCACAGAGCTGTTCAGATGCATATACTGACTGACAACACTCGGGCATCTGGCTTTATTCTGACCGCCTGGTCAAATTGGAGGAACAATATAAACAGCAAGTTAATTCAACAGCTGCTATTTTGTTTGAGGAATCCTCTCGTGCCAGTTAATTATTGTGATACTAGATCTGCACTTTTTAAACACCTGCACTTTTAATCGGAAATCTGAAACATTAAATGATTACGTCATTGATATATTGTGCTTAACTAAGACCTGGCAACAACCTAACAAGTTTATTTATTAAATGAACTCAGTTCCTTCATGTTTTGCATATACAGTACTGTATAGGGAAACCCCAATTTACAGGTCACAGTGGTGGTTTGGCTTTTATGCTTGGTGCCGTCAATATTCATGTTGAACTGTAAATTTGCTTTCTGATATATATATATTTTTTATTTTGGACATCTTTGACCTTACTCAATTGGTACATTTTCCTACTTACATTTGTGGTCCCTTGACCCGGTCTGTGCTTCTGGTCAGAATGCGTCAGAAATTCATTATATTCATGAAACTGAGCTACAAATTTCCAACCATAAGGGTGTTATTTGACACCTGCATCCCTCTATCTCTATCTCTATAGCAAGAATTAAAATCTATAAATGTATTTTTTAGTGATTTTCTCAGTTCTTCCCTTCAGGATTGGTCATTCTCAAAAGCTCATCTAGTCAACAATTTTAGTACTGTTGACTAGTACTTTGCATAAACTAGCTCCTTACCATAGTACAGTATACACCTGAACTTCATTTCTTACAATTGATAGGATGACATCTGGAGCACTGGAAAAAAGGGCTTAGAGGTTCATATTTAGACATATAATAAATATCCTCATGTCTATAGAGTTGCACTAGCTTCTGACAGAGCCTCTTAAATCTAGGATACAAATTAGCTCCTGGTCAAGGAGATCATAGAGAGCTTTTATCTATTATTAACAAACTCATTAAAGTTCCTGATAATTCTGTTCTTTCTTCCACCCCTGATCTTTGTTTTAGGTTTTTGAAATTCTTTCAGTCCAAGAGTGATGTTGTAATGCTACATTTATCTGAATCAAGCCTCAGCCTTGTTCCCAATCAGGATAATTATTTGACCCAAGTTTTTTGATAGATATTTCCATTGTGCCAGATTTTTCTGAAATTTATTTAGATCAACATATACTGAAATTAACTGATGTAAAACAACCTCTTATTGCATAGATTTGATCCCATTTTTATGCCTCTTTGCGGAAAGCTTGCCTGGTAGACATCTGCCCTATTATTGCCAATATTATGACAGGTGTGGTCCCTACAGCTTTAAAGACTGCTGCAATCACTTCAATACTACGACATCATGTTTGGATTCTGATTGAATGAGTTATAGACCAGTTACTAAATTCTCAAGGTTTTAGAAGGTGGTTGCAAGTCAACTGGAGGGCCACATGGACAGTAAACAGAGTTTAGAAATGTTAGCCACGTGAAGAATGACCTTCTATGCCATACAGGGTTTTGTTGGTATGTGCTCACAGATATTACAAATCCTGAAACACATGATACACATATAAATAACATGCAAAAAGCAGAACTGAGAAAATACTTTTGAAGTAAGTGACTTTTTTGATTTGCTAAAATCTAAAACAGTATAACACAAAATAATAAATGAACTCCTTAGGATCAGTAGCTACTGTACGGACAAAAGAACCATAGTTTAAAGACTGTTCTTCACAGTGGGAATTTGAAGACTTTTGCAGCTGCATTATTTTAATATCAGCAGAATCAGAATCACCTTTATTCACCAAGTACATTTCACGTACAAAGAATTTACTCTAGTGTATCCCATGCTGCAGATACATTCCACATGTACCACACACACACAAACAGCCCCAGGGAAGAAGCTGTTCAAATATGGGGCAATTCTGGTTTTAATAGACCAGTAGAGTCCTTCTGTGTGAGGTTTATGAAAAAGGTGGTAACCTGGATGGAAGGGGTCATCAGCAATCTTTCCTGACTGTTTCTTTGCTCTGGAATTGTACAGACCATCAGTGGAGGGGAGGTGACAGACAATGACCCTCTCCTCAGCGTGAACAACACACTGCAGTCTTCCTTTGGAGCAGGCAGACACGTTGCCAAACCCAACAGCCATAGAGGCAGTCAGCATGCTATCAAAAATGGCTCTGTTAACTATCAAATTTGATTAAGAGGCAACAATTTATTTAGTTGGCACAAAAAGTATAGTAGTCTGCTCTGCTGTCTTTGTGATACTGGTATGTCCCATTTAAGGGTATTAAAGATCACAATTCCCACAAAATTAAATAACTCCACCACACTCATAGCCATATCACGGATTATCTGGGAGAGATGATTTAGAGAATGTGTCCTTAAATCAACCACCATTTCCACTGTTGTAAGGGTATTAAGATACAGGTGGTTGTTAGCACACCATGATGCCAACTGAGTCATCATCATCAGACAGACAAATAGACAGAGCTAGACTTTCAAAATATCTGTACTCACTTTGTCACCTTTAGGACCACTAGAACCAGGAAGTCCAGGATCCCCTTTCAGTCCCTGTTAAAAGCATAAAATGGAATTATAGCCCTTCCTCAAGTTTATTTGCTCTCTGTAAAACAAATAATTGTTATTTTCAGTCTGCCATTACAGGGATAGCTTCTGTAATCCTTTTTTCACATTTTATCTTCTACCCAAACTTTTAACATTGTCATCACCATTCTACCATTACAGTATGAAGTAAACATGTAAAATATTAAACCAGTTATACTAATTTTACTCAGCACCATAAGTTGAAAAGGTGAAACGTGTCAATGTAAACAGTATTGAAGGATTACTGTACTTTTGAGAGAAACATTTGAAATAAATACCGTGAATAAAATACTACAGCCAGCATCTGATGAATGAGCTCTTAATATAATGCCAAGCTGTGTCTAAATATACTGCAATCCTCATAAGATATCAAGTTGTCACACCAGTCTCGACAATTTTGCATACTACAATCAGGAAACATTCTTCCCCTGAATTCAAAGGCTCACGTATCTACATAGCCTGAAAAACACAATTTTGTCTCTACACACAATTGGGTGAAAGGCTATTAACATATGTCATACAAACTCCAAACAGCTTCCAGGAATATAAGGATTGTAATCTTCCAAACTAACTGGAATATTCCTAAGTGAGAGGCTTGATTAAATCAGTGTCCAATCGAGGAAACTTAAATTTATCTGACCAGTCAATGATTTTTCATTTTGGGCCATGAAGTGTTTTAGTACTGTTGCACCCTTTGTGAATAAAGATTATCTCGCTAACCATGCCAAAATCTAGATGAATAATATACTGTAGGTCAGGAAAAGCTCTAGCCTTAAAACATGCTCCTGTGGTATGCCATAGGTTACATTCGCTCAATTAGGGGTTATGCATCTAAACATGATGTACTGCTTCCTATTTGTTAGGATATCCAAGATATTTCCTATTTTTGTAATACCATCACAAGGTGGAGGTCAAACAGTATGTTTTTCAGTTTGCTGGGCTGGACACGGATTTAGCCAAGCCTCTCACTTAAGAATATTGTTAGGTTCCAGTTCTCCATTTATGTGCAGACATTTCCTTAGATTCTTATGGCTTTTCATGTGAGAATTAACCTTTTATGAGGGACCTTATTTGACACTATCTGGGCACTATCTTGTTTTGCATCTTTTTTTCAGATGAACGTGGAATTATACAATAATTACCCAATGTTGCTGGTGTTCCTTTTTTTACATAGTACATGCTATAGTATTGATGTCTTTATTTGCATGCAACATTTAATGTTTACTATAATTTTACATATTCTATCATTGATTCCCTAATATCTTATAAAATATGTACAGTACTTCTTCTTTATAGCTTTCTGCTGTAGAAATATTGAAAAATGCTTTGATTAGTTGTTTTCTAATAGGTGCCTTTACAAATAGGGTTTAGAAGCAATTGCTAACCATTTCAACCTCAGTCATGCCAATTTTAGCTTCCGTGTGAAAAAGTGAAATCTCCCAATGATATAACATCACCTTTGTTTTATTACAAAACTCATTATTTTGTAAGCCACTTTTACTCATGTCTGCATTAGGTGGCTTATTACAGAGACCTATTGTTAAGTCCTTATAATCTTTATGTTCCAATTTAACCCATCTATATTTATAGCAGGAAGCCCCAGTAAGGTCTACTAGCCCAAATGTGGGCTGTGAAGATCATATTAATCTTATTTCATCTGACTCCATCCAAATTGCATTTTGTGTTTGGTTATTGTATACAGGTTCAGGCATTATAAACACACTTTCTTGAAATGTATAGCCTGGGTGGAAAAAACAGACTAAGGAAGGTATCAGTAAAAGGTTTTGCAGGCTGATTTTCATGAATATTGTTGTTTATGTGCCTCAGGTCTCTGCTTTGCTCCAGGTCATCTCTAATGACCTCTTCTGGGAATATCTGGACTGCCTCAGCATTGGTTTCTCTCTGAGCTGACCGGCAGCAGCACTCAAATCCAGCTCTGTGAAACTGTCCCAAGGTCACCCCACATGTGGCATGAGGGTCTGGAGACATGTTTTATCATTAGCCTTCATTCAGATCAGGGTACAGGCGGAGGGACTGGGATTTGGAATCTTGGTTTTCTGCAGCAAAGGGTCAGCAAACTGGGGCACCGCAGTGTGCTTCTGCAGGCATAGCACAACTGACTGACTGCTAATTATACACATCCTGTTCTTATAGAAAAACCTTGCTGAAACACTATCAGCCTGCCTTTCAGAAATATCAGCAGAAATAAATTGATGAGTAAATCAGTTAAAAATAAATAAAAATGTCAGCTCCTTCAACATGCAGAGTGCAAAGAATGCTCAGCAGCAGATGAGTTTCTGCACACTAAGTAAAGACTGTAGGAGAGCAAGCTTGCTGGCTTGACAAAGATCCATTTTAAAAATAAATACAAAAGCTACAATGATTCACTGCTGCACCCTAATGTGTCAGAAGCTACTACTTTTTCTCTTGACAATCAAATTAGTTTTTCCTTACTAAAGGAAGGCATCCTTACTAAACAAAAAGACCAATGTAAAACTATCAAGATCTCAGTCATTTCTTAAGTCGCCACTGTCAGACCTGTTGACATGTTGATGAGATATCCTGAGTGGCATCTTTTAAAGGATGCGGGGAACAAGATCTCATCAAGTAACACAGATGTCTCAAAGGCCAGCCTAGAAATGCTTGGAGGGTTACAGAAGGAAATGCTCTTGTCATTTTCCATCAAGTCAGCATTTTGATAAGGATGGAATCTAAGGACAAGACTATAAAGTAGACGTTACACTGATGAAAATACACTTGATGTACAGTACGTAGTACTAGAGATTACAATATAAGACTGACAGAATCTGACAGAACTAACTTTATACCTTAGGAATTATGATTAAAACTACTTTAAATATATTTCTACAAGTAAAAATATGCTCTTATTATGCTGGGCATCAGAACATAGTAAATTAATTTATGCAATATAATTGATGCAACATAACCTTTCTAATGTTTTAAACATATTTAGTGTAGTAAAAACTACAGTATGTTACATACTGTAGGTAAATTATTTTACATTTTATAAACCCATAATGGGTGGCACAGCAGTGCAGTGGTTATAGTTTCAGCAGTGGTGAAAGTGTGTGAACATGTCTGTATTTTTGTCTGTGTGTGTCCTGTGATGGACTGGTGTCCCATCCAGGGTGTATCCTGCCTTGCCCATTGCTTGATGGGATGGGCTCCAGCTCCCCTGCAACCCTGTACTGGATAAAAGAGTTAGAAAATGGATGGAAAGGATAAACCCATTATTTCAGTACACATACTTATTAAGTACTATAAAAATGTATTTTTCTGTTCAGGGAGAATGCTTTAAAATGCTTAAAAAAAAAACTTACATCTTTTCCAGGTGTCCCTTCAGGACCAGGCATTCCGATGCCTCCCTTTTCACCCTGAAAAACAAATGCAGTTCACAACATCTCAGAATAATAACTGTACAATACATCCTCTCAATCATAACGGGCCCTTGCCATTTAAACACAGTTAACCTCCTCTTACTATCTGTCACTCTGAATATACCAATCCTTAACCTTAATGACCTAAAGGTAATTTGATTTATACTGAAATTTACACAGGAGTCCATTCTTCTCCAGTATGATTTCTGACATTTCAAATTAAAAAGATATCTTTGGGCTCTTTCTTGGGGAGCAATTATGCTAAGGAGTGGATAACAACACTGGAGCTTTCAAATTCAGACCGCAACAGTATAAAAAAAATGAAACCACTTATTCCTCTATATGACCATAATGGGAAAAATATACCTATGGTATTCCAGAATACTGTATGTATTCATATTTTGACTGAGGAAGGACGATGTTGCATAAAGATGTAGAATTCAATTCCCGAAATTCTCATCCTCCTTCTCTTTGTTGATGAAAAATATTACAGATCACAAAAAGGGCGTGTGTAGTTTAGGATGTACTGGAATATTTAATCCTTTGTTTTTTAAGTGTGTGTTGTTTATTTCTTTTTCAACAAGTTATCAATCTTTCGTCATCCCTGCTAGACTTCACCCATGCCTCACCTAATACATCCTCACTTAATTTCTTTGTAGTGCAGGTTGGTTATTAAACTTCTACTTACAATGGAAAATTTAAAACTCCTACAGAATGAACACAGATGTGCAGAGGTACAGTACGTGAATCTGTCACTGCAGCATGGTATTTCTTTAGCTATATGGAGGTTTTTCCAGAAATCATTAGTCATTTATTAGACTGCATCTACAAAAGACCATCAATATACTGTAGCTAATTTTAAAAAGCATTTTAGCAAGCACATAAAACTTCCATGGTTCTTTGGATATTCTCCAGGAAGTGGGTGTTTGTGAAAAAGTGATTTGAGCAATGAGATTCCTCATGCATATAGTAAGATAATTGCATGTTTCCCCATAAGTACTGTAGCTCTCAACCTTCCATTCTAGTATTTTTCTTTTTTCCTTAGATATTTAAACAATGCCACTAATTTCTTATCAAATGGCCCCAGCCTACAAACACACATAATGACAATGATATTTTATGATGATTAATTGACAAGTAATTTCTTTGTAATGGGAGCACAGACTTCCATTACAAAGAGCATAGCCTCCACAAGGCTATGTCAATGCCTAGATTGGATTTCAAAATAATATTTCCCCAGAGGTAAAAGATATCTTCTGTATTAACCAGGCAGAGTTACTATAAATTATTTTAACACTACGCTGTAAAATCTGAACTTAAGCCAATAAAAGCGTTAAAGTTAAGCAACCATGACAATCAGATATAATTTGTTATGTACTGTAAGAGATGCACAGAAACTTGTCATTATGCCAGACTAATGCTATTGTATGTTTTTACTGCATTCTAACACAAGAGCTCTCCAGTGGCATGCCATATGTTAAAGAAAATATTACTGATCTTGGGCAGCACAGTGGAGCAGAGGTTAGCATTGGGGCCTCGCAGTGCTTGGGCCCAGGGTTCAATTCTTGCATTCTGCATGGAGGTTGTATGTTCTCCCAGTGCCCACATGCGTTTCCTTCAGAAAACATACTGTTAGGTTAACTGGCTTCTGGGTAAATTGGCAATAGCGTGTGTGTGCCTTGTGGTGGACTGGCATCCCGTCCAGATTGTGGTCTGCCTTGCGCCTGTTGCTTGCTGACCATGAATTGGAAGAAGTATTTCAATTCCTGATCTTGTAACAGCTGAAAGCCTTTTCATTAGACTTTGGACTAAAAATAAAGTTTCAATAAGTCCTTTTATTCATGTTAGAGTTAAACAACAATTCAATAAAATGTCAGTTATATTTTGTTTATGGCTCCATTTTTATACATTATCTAAAAATAAAAAAATATGGTTTTTATTTTAGTTATTTGTGGGTAATATTGCAAGTATTTGTACAAACAGAAAAAAACAAACCTCCTTAAGCTTCAATAAAATCCTAAAAATACTATAGGAGTGAAGTCAATCCTCTTTTCAAGCAGTAAAATAAAAGGTCTAGTCCTTAAAGAGCTTGTAAAACTGAACTTTCATTTCATTTGTCTCTTTCTACTGCACCAGTGAATTCTGAAATGCTGGAAAAAAAGCTTTTATAATTTTTATGTAAATATTGTAAAAACAAACACCAGTTTATCTTTTGCTGAATACATTATACAAATGCAATAGGATACTGTGTACTGTAATATCCACAAAAAATGATGTAACCAATAAACATACATATACATTTTCAAACAGCTGCATTTGGTTTTATAAAACTTTAAGAGCTACAATAGCACTGAGGAAGAATTTCTGAATATGTATTGCCAGTATAGCAGTTTCTTTTGGCATGACCCACTATAACGCTAACCTTTTCTCATCATTAATGACATTTAGTCAAAATAAAATTACAATATAGCAAAGTGTAGAGTACATTTTTGAACAAAGAAGAAGAGAGAGCAATCACAAGTCTGGCTATAGATATACTATCATTAAGAGAATAAACATGATTTGCTGAAAATACAATAAGTCATGAATGTGCCAATTAATGAACGACAGTAGCTGTAAATGAAAGCTAAATCAATATGAAATCAATGATTGTACAACCCCGAAAAAGAATCTTTAAACATATGGCATAAAGCATACATTACATTTTGTGCATGTTAGTAAACAAATACAGTGAGTATGCATTAAGAAGACACATCAAGCAACCTTAAATTCTAAACGAGATGTTTTCTGTCCCATACACAGTGATGCCACAAATACACAGCCATGTGCATGATCAAGCACTGGAATTGTTTCAAGCTGGTTCCAACAAGCCGTTTTAAACCGCTTTGAAGGTGAAAAACATTATCAGTGCATTTTACAGAGAGAAAACAATGCAAGCCATAATGCTATTGGTAGGGTTAAGGTTAGATTTTGATGGGCTAGGTACAGGTTTGAATTGTAGAGAGGGACACATATAATGATCTCTTATGATTGGAGGAGACAATATGTATGGGAGCCTAAAAGCGATACCTTACAGGGACAATTCTCAAACCGATCACCATTACCTTCGTAAAACATCATGGACAAGAAATGTATTGCTAAACTCCAGCTCTGCACACTAACAATTTTTGCCATGAAGTTCACTTCTTCCATAACACCTCTGATAAAACACTTGTGGGATGTGATGAGCTGCACTCTTTTTGCCTTTTAGACAGATACTTCTGGACCTGCATGGGGAGCTCTTCAACATTTAGAAGAATTCTCCATAACCATTCCATAACAATTTGACTGCAGAGATGGATACAAATAATATACAACGTGGTAGCTTTAGCTTCAGAAGTTCAAAAATAAAGATCAATTCCTAAACCTAAGGTTGTAGGATTTCAATGTAATGAACGTTATCCAAAAAGACATTTACTGCAGACAACTGCAGAGCATTTTTATTTACACAAATTGCTGTGAATGATTGGAAGAGCAACCAGACCTGCCAGCATTGAATAACAGTACAGATCCTTTACATTGGTACAAATGTGCATCCTTTAACAGCTTCTGTGAATACCATGTGGATATGGCTAGCTTGATCTCTTCATTCCTGAAAGATAATGTGCATACATCACCTTGCATTTAGTGTATTTTCAGACCTAAGATCTTGGACGTGTGCATGGACATACAGTAGATGCAAAATTTCCAGATGCTCCTTGTTGTGCTTTGTGGTTTATGGTATTTTATTCTGCATCCTTTATCTTTGGTTTACATGGTTCTAATCCCATTAGAACATTTTGTGAATGAAACTCTATTCATTTTTGGTTAAAATTACAATCTACAGGCGCAGAGTGTCTGTGTAGCAAGAGCAGGACTAGTATTTCTGCTGTAAAGATCAGTACCTTGAGGGCATATGGGTTGATCAGACCTAGTAAACAGGCTTTTAAAATGCATGGTGTGGATTTGATTTTATTTGCCTCATGACTCCTGCACCTGCTTGCATAAACTAATGTTTGATTGCAAATACTTTTCCCCATCAGCCACAACTCCCGAAGTGAATCAATACCACATTGCTGAGACAATCTGAGGTACCCCAAGGGTAGAAAACATGTATAATCTAACGTCCCATATAAGACATTTACAGTACACTAACAAAACTTAAACTTGCTATTGGAAAATGCAATTGATCTGTAATGTAATATGCTTCTGCTTTGATGAACTGCTCAGAGAGCACACACACACACACACACACACACACACACACCTTCATCCAGGAGTCACATCTATTCCCTCAGGACCTGGCTCTTCCAACAATAAGCATGGAATGCAAATAAAAGGCCTAGCACATTAATTTTCTTCTTTATGTGTGGTGTTTCCCAGTATACTTAAAAACCCCTGGAGAGTTGCCTTAATAGAAATACAGCATTTTATTTTTTTTAAATGAGAAAGCAAGCATGGATTTAAGATGACTAGGAATTCAAATAAAAGCTTAAAGTAACCAGGTGGGCTAGTCTGTGAAATATACATATTCAGATATTATATCAGTTGTAAAATGTTAATCTAAAAACATCTCTTTCAGAAAAGCCTCACAAAGCCTCAAAGTTCACAAAACAGAACAGGCATAATAGCCTTCAATAACAAACAATACACACATTAAATAATAGGGGGTGATTTAATAATCTTAAAGAGAAGGAAATTAAAGAGCAGTGTAATGCAATACAAATACAGCATATGGAGGGATGGTCCTAAATCACTGCTTCTGAGCTTCCATGAACAGCTCAAGTCAAGAGTCTTACAGTGATTCAGCAGAGTCTCATGGAGGGACAGCTGCACTGGACAACAACTTCCTTTCAATCAGTCTACACCCAAGTTTTGCTTCAGAATTTCATTTTAAATTAACTTTTTATTTAATTTCAAAGATGTATCATTTAGTTCTTTTATTTGCTTAATCTTATTAACTGAATTTTTCACTGAATTAAACACAAAATAATCTTAATTTTAGAACAAGAGATGTTTTAGTTGTAGCACATTAATGTCACACTTATGCGTAGGTGTGAGCTCATTTCTCCAAAAACATGAAAAATGAAAATAACAAAACACTGACTTCTAACTTGTCAGTTTACTTTGGGGGTCAATATCACAATACATAAGGAAAAAATACTTCAGAACATTGTGCTTCAATTTTATACTGATTTTAGTTTAAATGGTAAAACTGTTTCTCTTTGTAATTACAGTTTGACTTTGAGGTCTCACTCCTCCCACATAGAGTAATTCACAGATCAAAACACACAGGTGTGATCAAGGCATTTTAATTCAAATTATCAGAAGCACCTCCAAGTAGGCAGCAGTGGCTGAAATCCCTATTTTGAAGACCCTATTTTCCTTTACTGACATGAATATGACTACAACAGGCAAGGCTTCTCTGCCCCCCAGACTGCACATCAAAACTGAGTTGTTCAAACAGTACAGAAGAATTAAATAACTATCATAATTTTGTATTGGTATAATCTTAGTTCTAAAAAATTAAAGATGTTTGTTTTTTTTACTTTTATCTGTTTTCATTTGAGGTTTTGTAAGCTGCAAATGTCTTCTAAAATAAAATGTATTCACCAGTAAGTATTTTTGTTATGGTGTTGAATGATTTTGACATTGTTTATGTATTCTGTGCACATTACCTGACAACATTGCCCACCTTCATAAAACACTTTTGAACATTGTTTAGGTACAAAAAGGAAACGGGGATAGTGGATGCACCTAAAGCCTGCAAATCATGGTGGGGGCAGTCATCCACATCTTCACAAATGTACAGTACTAGACAGCATGGGTAGAACAATTTGCAAACAGGCTCAGAAACACTTTTAAATAGAACCATACCAACTGAGTATAGTAAGTGCCTATACATTTTGAATCAGTAAGGAATGTGGTATGTGGCACATTTTTCTAGGAAAAGTATGTTCTAGAGGTCTATGGAGAACTCCACCTATTTCTGAACTTGTTGCTCCAGCCACTGGAAGTGAGTGTGAGGTGTTCCAGTAGCACAGATCTTCAATTCCATGACCTCTGCAGGCTGATAAAGGCCACACACCCTGTTCTATTTAAAGTTGTACTTTGAACATTTTATTAGCTTTTAAAAATAATATTAGGGAGTGTGGAAAGAAGCCTTCACAGTGAATTATGAGCATCTTCAGTTCTAAGTACGGAAGAATGACAAATTATCATTATGCAATTTTCTGTGAGCTAAGAAAAATAAAACCCTCTAAATATAAAAGCAAATACCATTTAGCTAGAAATAATATCAGGTAATAAATATAAAGAACCATAAGTTATTAAAGAGCATAGGTCAATAAGAATTGACCTACAATGATTATTTTGGAACTAGTTTATAGATTAAGTCCTACCTGAGGTCCCAGAAGTCCATCTCTCCCAGGAATACCAGCAGCGCCTTTGTCCCCCTGAACAGAAATTAGACAGGCAGAGATCCTTCACTGAGTGTACTTGTGAGTAATATACTAAAGGACAATTCTCCTCCTTTTTTTTTTTAATAGCTGTCAGTTCTCATGCCTTCTGCAATAACTTGTTGGATTTTTAAAAATATCTACAGTATGTGCACTTTTAATAATTGATCCACTGCTTTTTCTTACTGAAAAGTAGGAACCAAAGTGGCAATCCTGATTCTTTTAATTATATAATTAAACATACATATTTGAGATTAAATTAATGTTATTCAAATCTATTTTAAATAAAGTTCTAGATATCCATCTTTGTCATGTATTCATATAAAAATACACGGCAGACTAAAGGTAAGTGAGCATGATGAAACACTATTCTTTGCTTATTCACCTTCTATATTGCACATAATGTTGAAAGTCCATAGACAACTACAATTTTTTTAAATAGTCTGAAAACACATTTTAGCCTGTATAGAGTTTCACATGGCAGTGCAACTGCGAAAACTAAGCTTGACATCTCTCTAAAATACATCCCATGGATCAACACATCGTCCACCAATGCCACTGAAGATATAAATTGGTGATGTGTAACTTGTAATCAGCAACACACAGGACTCTTATACAAACTGTGAAATTGGTAGGAAATGTCAATTTGTACAATTAAAAAAACACTTATGTATAAAACATATATATTCCATCCATTATTAGATATAACAAATGCTGGAAAAACTTCCAATGTTCTTGTTTGTTCTTTTCTCTGGTTACGCACTGGCTTCCACAGAAGGATATTGACCTTGACTTAGAAAACGCAACTGTTCGCACTCACACTAACAAATTAAAATCCAGACTGCTGTGTAGCTTCTCACAGTCCAACAGTGTGACAGGCAGAGTCATTGTGCATTAGACTGAAAACCTGTTCATCCAGCTGGATTTCAGATCATTATATATTAATCAAGAATGTCTTTTTCCTAATCCTGGACTCAGATTTGTACTAAGTGTGATTACTCACAAACATTAAATATAATTTAAAAACAAGGATTTCAGTCAAACATTTTCAAACCAATTAATTTGTACTATATGTACCTTTAAACCAGGATTTCCAGGGTATCCATCTTCACCAGTTTCTCCCTGTAATTAAACACAATATTGCTGGATTACAATTTATTGGCACCGTACTCAGTAGTTTTCTGGGACTGGTTTATGGTTCCATCCCGAGTTACAGCTGTTCATAGTCCTTTTTAACACAGGGACCAACAGCTGCAACTGTGGATAATATTACCCAATAATTGGGAAATTACATGTCCAAGACACATGGTAGCATTTTTTGACTTGCATTAAACTTGTAAAGGGAAGCTAAGAGCAACAAACCAAATTTATAGACATATTCTTAACATTTACATTTTACAAATATATTAATATTATCAAAACATGATTTACAAAAAATTACATTTTGAACTTTGATAATCATTGTATATTTGTGTTTTATTACTGTAGCGCATTCACCTGGCGCTGCGGCTGAAGAGCGCCGGGCTGGGGCGCGGCGAGGGCAGGACGGGAGCAGTAGGGGTCAGGGCGGGGACTGGCAGGGCCGCTGACCAGTGCAGCTGACCCATTGCAAAACGGGTGTACAGAGTGGTGAGATCGCCCTGATTCGTGTAAATAGTTCCCTGGTTTCGCACCCCTTTTCTTATACTTGTACCCAATTGCCTTCCCATCCTCTTGTAACTGTACCCGAATTGACCCCAGTGTGTCGCGCTCTCTTGCCGTCTCTGGCTCTCAAGGGTTTTCTCTCTGCTTGCGCGCTGGCGCTGTGGTTGTGCTTGCTGTGGGGGACGCTCATCCAAAAAACAAAAGCGCCATTTTCGATTCAAACGAGAGTCTGAAGCACTGTGTCAGTCCTCGCCGAACCCGAAAATATCACATTACTACAGTATAACCACTAGGGAAAGGATTTAAATTTTCAAATATTTGTTTGAACAGCCATCATATCTGTGGGGTTTGTTATATGTTCTGCAAGGAGAAAATAATAAACTTTTCTTCAAGTGAGTTCCATGACTTGATTTCCATGAGATTTCTGTTTCTCCTTCATTTATTTTCAGCTCAATGTTGTAACAGATCAATAATTCTAGGGAACATTTTGTTGGTGGCCCCACCATTCATTGCTTTTTAAAATCTTTCAAATTTACCCAGAAATCAGATGTATTTTCTAAGCCCAGCAATGCCGACATTACATTTTAATAGAAGTTTCAGATGGTAATGTGAACCAGCCTCATCTGAATTTAAAATGTGTTTCGGCTTTGGATTCAGACCTCAGTCATAGATGCACTTCCCAAGGACCAAAGCCACAAAATCCAAAATAAATGCAAGATAAGACACTGAAAGACACACACACACACACACACACACACACACACACACACACACACACACACACACACACACACACACACACACACACACACACGAGAGATCAGATCTCGCTTCAGAACAGAAACGAATAACATCTGTCTTTCAGGCTCTTTATCAGCTATGAGTCCCGTTACACTACGTCACTTAGCCAAGAAACTTTTTTTAACCTGGGCACTCCAGCTCTGGAGGGGGAGAACTCCGGTTAATACAGAACAGACACATTGCAAACAGACCTTTTATGTATTGGATTAATTCTAAAGACTTAACCTCCTTTTAGTCTGCAAAGTGCTTTTCTACTCTTGGAAAGCCTCAGTATACCCGGTTTTATAGATGGTTTGATCTATGATGATCAGTGGCGAAAGATCACGTGTTATTTGGACTAATTAAGTAGTAATCTTGGAGTTCCAAGGGAACAAAAAACTGAATATTCTGTAGTTTGCTAGGATAAAAGCTCCAACATCAATTAAACTTCGGATAACTGACACAAGAGAAACGGACTCAAACACTTTTTATAGAAACATACAATAAGCATTGATCATAACTTTCACTTGACTGAGCTTCTTTCACACAAGGAAGATATTTTGGTGTTAGATAATTCCTAACAAAGGTTTGTATAAATATTAAGAAATAATGCAGATTTAAGAGGAGCAAGATGCTTATCAAGCATTTATGCCGTCAAATCATGATCTGTGGACACCGCATTATGTGTATTCCTCACAGAGTAGAAACAAATGAGATACCACGTCAATGTCAAACTTCGCAGAACTCACAAAAAAATCCTCATTAGTGAGTTCATTTTTAAATAGAAAAATCATTGTAGGTATGGCCTGAACTGTATTTTAGCTACACAAGATAATCAGCTACCGTACTCTTAAAATCCATAGCCTGCCATTAATGCGTCTGGAAAAAAAATTAAAAGGGTATTACATTCCACATATTAAAATATAGGTAATAGCTATATTAAAGTTAAATATAGCTCTGTTTAGAAGTAGATATAACAAACTAGTCACACTCTCTCCCTTACCAGAAGAAAAATCAGCTCTGAGTAGGGATATATATTTTAATAAGTCTTCAGCTCTACATACTGTACACACCAAACTTCTTAGAGGTACTTATCTTAATCTCAAAGTGAAATTTCACATTTTAATCCCCTTTGCAGGAAGATGAATATCATAATTACTTTTTTGTATCCATTATTTAATAACAAAAGGTTATAAAGAAGGTCTTTCTCCATGACATTCTACTCATAGCTCCATTTTCTAAGCGCTTATCCAATACAAGGTCGCAGGGGAGCCGGGGCATATCCCAGCACTCTAATGGGTACAGGGCAGGATACACTCTGGACAGGACGCCAGTCCATCACAGGGCACATTCAGACACATACACACCAGGCAAAATATTCCAGAAACCAGTTTACCTACCAGTATGTTTTTAGACTGTGAAAGGGAGGAAACCAGAGTACCGAGAGGAAACCCATGTGAACATGGAGAGAACGTACGAACCCCACAAAGAAAGTACCCCTGGGTCTGGAACTGAACTCAGGGCCCCAGCGATCCAAAGCAGCAGTGCTAAACAATATCCAAGATGTCTCAGTTTTAACAGTACAGAAATGATGTACGTCTTAAAGTAATAAATAAAAAGGCAGATGGAGTACAAGATTTGTATGTCTTGCAAAAATCTCAATAGAGCCAATTAGTGCAATGCCACAATACAGTTTTACTGCTGAAATATATCCTCTTATTCATCCTAAAAGATATAGAACAGGCTAGCAACAGCCTTACCGGTTACTTATCAGGTCTATCAGCTCTTTTATAAACCAAAAACTTCAGTGCCAATATATAGACAATTGTAATCATCTACTGACATGACTCTCACTGCTCCGTATTCCACGAAGACTGTTCTTCCACCTCTAAGCAACCTCCTATTGACCAGCATTGCTAAAATAGATTAAAAACAGTTTGTTACATGTGAAGGCAGTTATTTCATATTGTAATTACAAACGTTACCTTTTCAATGCAATACATTACATTTAAATGTAAAGTTTATGAACAATTAATCTAAACCAGACATTCATGGCTATCTTGGCTCTGGCCCAAAACTACTGTAAGTGAATTTCACAATTAGTCCCAAAACTGAACAAATAGGACAAATAGTTATAATTCAGACCTTATCATTTATGATAAACACTTAAACTTATTAATCTTATTTACTCTTTTATTACTTTCCCCTCAACATAGACCAGTATAATTTTAACTGATTCAGCTGTTACATTACATTAAACTCTCAAGTCAAACCATGTTCTGAAAATTCAGATCAGTAGAAAAGAAACGCTTTGTGGAAAAAAAAATGCAAAAATTACTTGTCAATTTGGTGTTTAGCCAAAAGTAGCTCCAAGTGTAGCAGCTTTCTGAATAAAAGAAGCAATAAAAAATATGTATAACCATAGACAAAATTAATATTACAGAAACTAGCACTAAAAGCCTCCATGGAATCAGAATATTGTCTTGTATTACTTGGAGTGCTTGACAATGATATACTACTTTTGATTGAAACCCGATAATCATAATAAGTTATTCCCCCTGAAAGAACTTCTCACAGTTCATAACAGTTTCACATAATGGGAGTATATTTTAATGTTTTAAAGCAGCAAGGACAGAATTATTGCTTCGGCCTAGCCATCTACCCAAGACACATTTTCTAAATAATGCAATTTTTGTCCTCTGCAACAGCAATACAAGGATCTACATAAAAGCAGTTCCACATTTCTGCTGAGAAAGGGCTTTCTTAATTTAATTGTTTTTTCTTTTGGCAATAATTTGTCTGGTGAAGTGTGTCATGTGACTCTTTTCTATTAGTAATGCTTACATTTCATGCCTCTTGAGAAATGCATTGCATTTAAGAACTTTACCAACAACTCCATTTACTTTCTTCTCCCCTCACTTTGTCTTATTTCTATAGCGCATATTCAATTATCATTTTTATTTCAATCCCTGCAGTAAACCTCAGAGTGCTGAGTCTCTTTAATCAGGCTTTATTTTTCATTGCTAGCCCAGGAAGGGCTGTTGCAATGTGCCACAGTTGTTTATTTAGTATGCATTTATTCACTTGCATTTAATTCCATATTGCAGTGCCTTACTATCTAATCTTTTCTAATCCCATTTGATGACTGAAGATGGTAAATGAGGAATTATAACCTTTGCAAAATAAATAATACATCAAATTCAAAATGTTTGTTTACAGTTAATGTAAAATGTATTTCTGAATGAAACAACAACAACAATCTACAAACTCAGAAGTATTTTGGGCAAAACACCTGAAATCACAATTAAATGTATTTATTTTACTGATGTGGGACAACATGTACAGTACGCACACATTCCCGCGAACAGAAGGAAATTAATTTTCTTCCTAGATTACTCTTCCTTATCAGAAAGAGGTCAGAAGAACTCAGATAATTTCTGAAATGTTTAGCTGCATTATACTGTAGCTAGCAGGACAGCAATATCCCAGAGCCCAGGTGTGGTAATTAGATTGTTTAATCTATTTTGCATTTTGTGAAATAACCATCTTAATTGTTTATTCTTGAACAAGTTGTTCTAGCGAAGCAGTTAGATAAGTAATATTAATTCAATATTTATTGAACATGCAAATTTAATTAAGAATGAAAAACTATGAAACATACAGCACCTAGTTTTAGCTCTCATTAAAGAACCTGCTGTTCCGAAAAGAGAGCAGGTGTTACATGCTGTGGAACAGGAGCTTAAATTCCCCAAAGTGGAAACCTAACACCTACAGTAAAGCTACAAGTTGTGAAATTGCCATTTCCAATTGTCTCAAGACAAAAACTACATCTTTCATGTACACTGAGGTACAGCTACTGTATCCAACCCTCTCTAATGGGACTTTCCAACCAAACACGCACTGTCAGTTCCAGTTTCTGTGGCTAATTGAGTACCACCAATAACACACACACAATGGAACAGTTATTGTGTAAGTGCATTCAAAAATAAAGATCTTCTACTACCCCATTTCTCAATGTGTGAGGTGAATATAATCAGAATCACAGCAGACTTTGGAGAGAAGTTTCTTGAAACTTTGCTGTAGGTGCTGTCCTGTTAGTCACTGTATCTGTGTTTCACTCATGAGAAGATAGCACACCTAATATTGCAAGAGCATGACATTATCAGGTTTTTAGATCTGAGTGGGCAAACTCTGTGCACAATGTCATTGTTGCAGCACCTGGAGAGTTAATGTTATTGCATGCATAACATGCAAGAGATCTGGTATTGAGCAACTGCATATTAATAGCAGAAAATATATATATAATGTGAATATAATGTTGAAATTGACTTCAAAATGTCAAAAGATCATGAATATTGAATACACTTTTGTTTACCACATAATACAAAGACACATGATTCTCATTGTTTCGCAAGGTTCCTAAAACTCAACAACTGAGGGATAATTTGAGGTCATTGTGACTATGGGTGAAATGTGGAAAATAAAAAATTAACAGATGGCTAGCACAGTGACAGCATAATGATTATCCAAGTGAACATCTAGATTTAATTGCACAGAATTTTCTATATTGAATGATATTCTTAAGCACCTTGCTTTTCAATTTTTTTTTCACTGCACAATTTTTTTTTATTTTTGTATCTGTTAAATGGGGATTATTATTCGCAGTATGCCTTGTTATAATTTCTCTGAGTGATGGGTTTTTGATACCCATTTTCCTTCCTGTCCTAATCGGGTTCTCTTGGCAATTCACCCACAAGTGTGCCTCATTTGTCATATTGCACCCTGTTCACTGGCATCACCTGAATATGAAAATGTCCCTTGTGTCCATTTACCAGGGGTGTAGCCAGGAATTTGTAGCCTGTGCAAAAGTGGGTGTCCCGGGCTCTAACTGACGGTCCTGCCGCCATAGGAGCACCCCTCAAATTTACAATCCAATCCTCAAATGGTATAATCAAACAGTAGAATTAGAGGAACCTTACATACACTATATACCATCTCTCTCGATCTCACACACACCGGTTAAGCAACAATTACCCAGGCTCCAGAACGCTGCTGTGCCACGGCGGACACACACACAAAAACAATCAGTGCCTTCCTTTGTGGTGAGGTTTTGGCCTTCTAGACCAGAAGCAGGCGTCGGGGCTCGGAATTGCATATGGCGATAATCTCGTCACTGTCTAGGCAGTCGGAAAATTCCCGTTCAAATGACAGCTAGTTTGCAAAGGTCTCTCATACAAGGACTGTCTTTAGCTAAAGAAAAGCGGCAAGAGCTCGTAAGTTCTACGTATTTTGTATGCCTGCTTTTAGAATGTTCAGCAGTGTTACGAAACACTCGGAAGTTAATATTTTATTGCAAAACACAATGAACACAACGCAGTGCGCAAGATTCAAAATCCGTCCGAAATTAAGTATTTAAAATACCATACAGGGTTTAGCTTGCCTTTACATATTGAGCCGACTTTAGCATAACACACCAGAAGAACATGCACACACGTTGGGGTTTCAGAGGTTGGAGTACTGTAAATGCATCGCCCCAAGGGTAATATCGAGTGGGGCGCAATGAGGATAAAAACGGCAAAGGTATTAAAATGTTAAGTGCTGAAGATCTTGTTTGATCCTTCATGATGCTTTTGAACATATGAAACCCACGAAATTAGTATTCTATTTTCGATGCCAAAAGGCGCCCAATTTGGAAATTCGTGACTTGCTTCCCACAAGACTTAACACTGAATTGTTATAGTCTCATTATTCAATTCATTTTTATATAGCGCCTTTTACAACAAGGTTGCTCCAGGGCACTTAATGCAAGTAACCATGCATTTTGTGAATACATAACAGAACAGAAGACAACGGCGGAGAGGAAGCAAACACTCCTTAGTAAGGAGAAAAAAACCCTCTAGGGGTCCAAGGCCCAAGCATTACAGTGCTAACCAATTCGTCGTACCTTTAATTACAAGAATGGTCTGCTAATAAAAGCGTCAAATACATATTTGGGATGTATAGTATTTTAGCTCTGTAAACATCGTTCACTTAAAAATACTGCAGGGCATTTAGAGGAGAAATGAATAGTTATCTGTAAAATGCACACTCGCAACATTAACTTATTGTTATTCATGCATTCCAAAACTTGTAATTTGTTTACAGGATCACTTCTAGAATTCTTCGTGCTCCTGCAGGTGGAGCATGGATCGAGCTGCTACAAGCAAACGCGCTGCCGCTTGCGCTCGGGAAGCCAGGCTGTCCTCCTCAAAACCCAAGACGCCTGTAGCATCTCATGTCCTGTTGGTTTCGGGACTGATCTTGTTATCTACACGCGGCTTTTTGAAAAACGTAGATATGTGCATTTGTTTTGCCATGTCGGCTAATAAACCAAAAACCTAGTGTTAGATAGCTCTAAGAGCGTCTGAAGACAACGACAGCCAATTAGGCTACGGCTACGCATGCACCGCCCCACTGCATTTAAATCATTTTCTTATTGGTCACAAAAGAAACAGCGAGCCAATAGCTAATCACATACGATGAAAAAATCAAAAACGTAAAATTAAAAAGCAAATCATGTAACACAAACAAGGGGAAAAAGATCTTAATTTGGACTGATTGGGTAGCCCTAGGATCAATCAGGGGCTACGCCTCTGACTGGGACACGGAGTTATATTTTAACAAAGACCAAATAAAAAGCTAGATACAGGGCTTTTTAAAAAGCATTCTGATGGAAAATTATATCAATAAAAGCTGTTTTATATTGTATGCCTCTGTGATACATTACTGTACCATGTTTGTAGATAAAAGTTCCAGTTAGAAGCTGTGCAGAGATCCATTACTGATATTTTTAAAAAACAATCATAATTACTGACAGACACCTGCCAGAGTGATGCCTTCTCCGTGACATTATTCGGTAAGATGATAGCCTTGTTTTAGATAACTCATTTTTAAATACTTCGACAAGAATATCTGCCAGTAAAGGTCCCCAATACATGTAAGTGCTAGTCCTAATTGAATTGCAAGGAAATGTAAGAGTAAATGACAAATGAAGATTTAAGTTCCAACATCGTATAGACACAAATATTGTTTTCATCCACTTTCAGAAAGTATGGAAGTATGAAATCTAATTTTATCTGGACTGCAATCAATATTTGCCACATTTGATGGCATGCTGGGCTTTGAAACTCATGCAGCTTCATCTGATTATAACACAGAACATTTAATCAATGAAGTCCACAAGGAAATATTAAGTATATCGCACATTGCAGCATTGCTCCAATTCTGACAGTATGAAAATGTTTAAAGTCATAAATTGGTAGAATTGAACCTAAATTGATTAGAATGTAGATTAAATGCTTCAGTCACCTCTGGGGTATATTGGTAAAAATGCCCACGCTCACACAAATCATTGAAACACGTACTGTACTTCCCTTTAACTGCAACTTAATTACAAATAGGAGACAATTTCCAAGTGTATTTAATTAAAACACTGTGCTGAGTTCATGCTTGTCCTTATAGAAACGTGGCAGAGATTTATTTAATTAGGTATTGACAGTTGAGATAATTTACTTGGCTTGATAATTACAAAAACATCTCTACTTATCCGCACTTAACACCTTAAGAAATCCATGAAAAATTTAATTTTATTTTATTTTTAAAAGTTAACTCTTATGTAGATTAACAAACAGATTATGATTTTAAAATGTTTGCAAAAACATTTTTTCTATTTATTTTATAAAACCACTTTGCAATTGGATATCAGCACTAAAAAGCTATATGGAGTAAAAAACATTAAAATGGTTTCACAGAAGTCATATTTTTTTTGATCGTTGGTTCTTTGTAAAAGATGCTCCTTTTCATTAAAAATGTGATTCTTCTTGTTTTATCTGTTTAGTATCATTTGTGCCACATTCAATAGGTGACCATTTCGAAAAGCTCATAAGAATTCCTTAGTGTCTGAGAAAAAGAAAACAATTTTTTTACTAAGTAGTTTTTGTTTTCTTTTATTCCAGGACCACACAGCAGTAATTAGGCAGTTGACCTAAAGGACCATCTGGTTGGAATGTGCATATCAACACCTGTTCACCCTAATGAATACCAGTCATTCTGTCTCCAGACGCCCAACTCTTTTTAGAAGAAAAACTGCTCTGTAACTGATCCCCCTGTGCTGTCATTTTCAACAGGAACAAATCCCTGTTCCACTGACACATTTCTTTACCCTCTGTCATAATGGAATGAAACCCTGAATACTACATTTACACAGCAGTATGGCATATGACACATACCAGTCTTTATAATGCATCATTTAATTTGCTAGGAGACACCAGATGTCTTCATATTGTTGAATCATGAAGAACTGATGTGAGCACACCCCTGTCCAAAGAGAAAATGAGATTTGTACCTTGTCTCCTTTATCTCCTTTCTGCCCTGGAAGACCTGACACCCCTGGAAGTCCAGGCTCCCCCTAGAAGAAAAAGCAATATATAAGAACATATTCACAGATAAAAAAGCTACAATCACAGAATAACTATAATCAAAAGCACATCATAGATCCTGGAATTTGTGTGTTGTCCAGTGATGTTGTCTAGGTTAACCGATATATCTCTAAATTGTCTTCCGTACATACAGTACGTGTGTTTATGTGCTCTACAATAGACTGCCATCAAGTCAAGAGTGTATTGTGCCTGGAGCCCATTGTTAGCCAGGTTAGACTCCAGCCGACTGTGACACTGCATCGAATCCAAGGGTTACTGAAAATGGATGGTTGGACCTATTTATATTAACCTTTCAAACAAGGTATTGACAACTTGATATAAACCCATCATCCAACTCAGGGTCACAGTGGGGGAGTTCAGAGCCTTTCCTGGATAGAAAGGAACCCCCAACAGGACGCCAGTCCATCGCGGGGCGCACACAGACACGCACAGCAGAGACAGAACCCAGGTCTTATTGAACCCAGGGCTCTAGCACTGTGAGGCAGCAATGCCAACAACTGCTCCAGCATCCAGCATGCCTCCTTATTATTAATAATAATAATCATCATCATCAATAACATTTCCCTCTAGCTTACTTTTATATTATGCACATTTTATATATAAAATATATAAAAATATATAAAAATATAATGGTTGGACTTTATATATATATAAAAATTTGCAGCATTTGTTTCACTTTATTTTTGGCTAATAATAATTATTTTATTTTGCTCTGAATAGCATCTAAGAAAAGTCATCAGCATTAAAAATATAGCATTTTAATTAGTTAATTATTTTGCAAGCATCATTAGTTTAGGGATTCAAGATAAGTCATCTGAACATGAAGCTCATGTTACAATTAGAACAAAAAGTGCTTTCTTTGATTAAGTTCTAATTAAACAAGTGATGGAGGCGACACGCATGCTGATGTGCGGCCCTCTGGGCTCCATGTACCTTGTTTGCTGAACATTGACATCTGTCATTCGATTGCTGCGCCAGCTGTGAAAGCATTCTTGGGATGTAGCTGGTGATAAGGGAAGGGGCTGTACCCAAGACTGCCTCCTTGGATGCACACTGAAAAACATTTTAATTTGAATACTTAACTAAAATAAGCAAAACAAAAACAATCTTCAGCCTGTGTTTTTCCATTGATTCCCATAACAATTCAATTGCACCCAAACTGCTACAGTATGTCCCCTTTCTCCCGTTTCCCAGCGCAGAGGCAGGAGGAATGGGCTTCTGCCTGGAGCCAAGCCGGGGAAGCGACAGCGGGGAGTGCGGCTGTGTGAAGCTCTTCTCTCGCTCAAGGGGAAAGAGGAGACTGTTCAGACTTGTCTGGGAGTTATGCTGTTTAATGCAACAGCATCATCAACACAATGTAGAGAGCCAGGTCCATGTCCGCTAAGCAGTGCGTAAATGCTGTAGACACTAAAGCAGTGTCTGCTGACTTCCATAGTACCTCATCCAGTCTATGGCTGGATCAGGGGGAAGCAAGAAATGCAACAAGCAGTGGTTAACTGCCAATTTAGGAAATGCAAACAGCACATCGGTAAAACTCCAAAGTTTACTCTAGGGAGTTTGGTCTTGCAAAAGCCCTGAGTTTAAAAGGTTATCAAGTACCTACTGAAGTAATAGATTAAAGCATATGGATCCTGTAGGACTTCTTAGTTAAAGCAATAAAATACATTTCATTTTTAACCAGATATTTGATATATTATGCCACACGTGACACAGACAAGGGCATTCCGTGATTTGGTAACCAATACAGTACAGTATTTCACTGAGGCTAATGGTATGGAGTACAATACGCAGTATAAAACAATTGACTCTTCTAAATGAAACTGCTTTTGTGTCACTTATTTACCTTGTGTAGGCCATATGTGAACAAACAAACAAAAATAAGTTGTTTTGTGGAAGACAATAAGGCACTTATCTTTTTGCAGCAGGAAGAGATAACCTCATTTAATAACACTAATCAATACGTACTGCCACAACCACCATATTCTATACATTCTTTTATTGCTACAGGTATGCGTGTCTCTTTGAATATGCTGGTTTTATACAGTATGTACTGTAGCAAATGGAAAAAATTAAACTGTTTTACCGTAGAACCTGGTATTTCACAGCAGTTTTCCAGTTCTGCCATTTTTGGATTGCAGTAGATGATAATTTGCTGAAGTTCAATCTGTAAGAAAAAGTCTGCTATTAAAAAAAATAACTTGAGGATGATTTCATAGAATGATGCAGGCCTCTTAGCATGGTTACTAGTAGGTAATTGATCTGCGGATTTCATCATGCCCTTTCTTGAACGAGGTGGTCCTAATAGAGACCTCTGTGATACTCCATTAATGACGTTACTCTCCCGATACTCACATCAACTGGCCTGCCATCTTCAAGGCGAGTGGTGATAAGGGTTCTGCCTCCAGCGTTAACCGCATCCCTTTCATCGGTCAGCCTCCTTTCAATGAGAGTGCAGTCCATGTAGAGGGAGATCATGCTGGACTGCACAGACAGGCTCAGCTTGTGCCACTGCCGGTCAAAAAGAGGGTGAAGATCCCGGCTCTTGAAGGTGTAGTGGAGAGTGTTCTTGAGGAGCCCTCGGGCTGTAAATTCCACTACTTTCCTACCCCCGTCAACAACAAAAGACACCTGTAGGACAAAGACTGTAATCACGCCGAGAACTGCAATCCATGTCAAACAGCAGGATGGAAATGAAACGGGCAGCTCCGGGAGCATGCAAGTACAAACTCCATTAATTCTATTTTCCAGAAAAACGGCATAGATAGACTGAGCCTTTTATTGAGTTTTGTACAACATTCACTCTTATCCAACTTAAATCTGACATGGAAAGAAGTAGAAACATGGGGGAAATATAAGAACACGCGGCTTTCTTTTATTCAACTCAGACTAGGTCAATAAAGGGTTTTGGATTTGGTTGAAAAATTGTTTGATCACCATTAATCCATACCTAGCAAAATAGAGAGCAAATCCACCCTGCATTCTGCCTTAACGCTTTCATAATAGGGAGCATCTTGGGATAATTATTTACCTGCTGTTGGGGAAAATGCTGTAGTAAACATTTTATATCACTGAGAGGAACTATGGAGTGAAGGTCCGCTGGGCAGCTCACGCTCATTTCTTGTAACTGTCTGTTTCTGCTCCATCAGATTCCTTTACACATCATTAATTGTGAAATATCCCCAAGGAAACAGGGCTGTTTTTCTCAATTATCTCATAGATACCATGAAAGGAAATAAGAATGGTTGGACTGTGGAATATTTATTTTATTATAAGCATTTCTATTACAAAATATATTAAGTTAGAAATCACTAATGTACTGGCTGGGTTTTAAAAATTTTGTGGGGAAAGCTGATGTTGTGTTTGTCAGAATTGATAATTAAACTTTTTTTTTATTGGGGATTTTAGATTATTAGTTCATACATTGCTGTTATAGCTCCTCCACTCCAACAATGAGGAAATACAGAAATGTTTTGGTTCAAGCAGTAAAGGCCTCCATTCGGAGAGGCAGTTGAGCTCTGTAGTATGGCACTAGCTGACTGTGACTGACTGATTCCCCAGGTGGGGCATACTGTACCATTATTCACTCCTGGGGATTTGTTAAATTTGAAGTCATTCAGCCCGGAGAGCTGCATCTGTCTTACCCATGTTGCTTGGCAGACCATGGGAGGGCTGACAGTACTTAAGCAGAGGTTAAGGTACAGTAAGACATCAGAAGCAAACCTCCATCTCAGGTACTTCTAAATTTCCTATTAACCTTAACAAGTATTAAACCCACTACAGCAAAAGGTCATCAGCTCTACCAAAGGGATTTGAATGCTCCGCGGAGTTACCAAATGTTCTCATTTTGGTCATTACAACACTACAAAGTTGTATAATATCAGTGCCAGGTAAGGGAAATGTGTGAATGTGACCCCCATGCTCCCTGTGCTTGTACAAGGGTTAACAGATTCTAATTTTCGTAAGAAGCTCTCACCCTACCTGAGTGCTTCCGCCCTGGTCGGAAATCTGCCAGAGGTACCATCGGTCCTTCTTCGTTGTTTTCCGTAGTCGGAATGTGGCTATGAGAGCATATTCATCAGGGAGACCATTCGGAAACACCAGTCTGAAAAAGGGAACAAAAATCTGGTTTACTAAATTTAAAAATCAGGACAAAAAAAAGTATCTGTTAAGATGGCATGCATGATTTATAGTCAGGATGATTCCTATATTTCTCCAAGTGCTTTCAATTCTTTTTCCTAATGTTGAAGAGAAGAAAGAATAGATGCGTGTGCAATGTAATTTCTTAGTAAATGTCAGTTCGATTTATCCAGCCTGTCTCACCTTGTTTGGAATTTATTTGTTATGCAACTTGAAAAGAAATTAGTATTGATCCACTTTTTAAAATTTATTAAATTATTCAAACTTCATACATATACTACATAAACAGAGGCTGACCCAGAGCAAGGTGCTTGGGCAGACAGATGGGAAAATCTAATCTTCTGAACAGGACTGTGGCATAAATCAGTTCCTACTTTGGCCAGGCTTGCACAGGGGATGAAAGAGGTTTTTATTTACTGTATATCCTAAAACTCTCTAGTCCTTTGCAACTGGTTAGGACATATTTATTTCAATGCTCTATTATAAAGAATAAAATGTGATTTTACCTTACCGTTTTCATTTGTTTGCTAAATCTGATGAAAATATTTCTAATACCGTGTATTGGATAATGTGTTTAGAGAATGGATGGGTGGACTAGCAGCATGTAGTCCGTTAAAAAGAATAATCTGGCCAATTCACTATGCAAACTGTTGGATTTAAACAGTTGGAGGTCTCCGAGCTGGCCAGCTCATTGACATGTCTCCAGCTGCTGCCTGATGAGTCCACAGAGAGAGTCTGCACTGACTGCTAGGGGTCAAAAGGTTAAAGAGGTCAGAACCTTCAGTTAAGCAACAGTCTGTGCCTCTGAAGTATGAAGACATTGCATGTGTCACATTTTAGCTGACTAACTTGCACCATTTAGAGTAAAAATTCTTAAGCATTACTCTTTCAGTTCCTGTATTACCATCATATTTCATACAGCATGCAACATTAAACTTTAGTGCACAATTTCAAACACCTTCAGTTTCAATATATTTGACCATGTTAATGAGCTGATTCCCTCTATTTTAGCATCTAGAGAAATTAAGTGGTTTACAAATATGCAAGCTAACCATTATGGTTCCCATAATTAGTACCTTTAATGTTAACTGTTTTTCTCCTCTTCTGTAAGTGCTTTAAAACCCAAGACATAAAAACTGAAAAGCAAATCCTAATTTCAGCAAAGGTAAATGAGTGCAACGATCTAAGATCCACCTCAGAATAAAAGATGAATACATATTGTTACAATTAGGAGGTAGGGAATACCAGAAATAGACTGAGCAGGATAATCAATAAGAAAAATAATCTTTTTTTTTTCAAGCCTCAGTAGCCCTATCTTTACCCCCTTGTGTTCATTATTCTTTGGCACAGGTCTGGCAAAAAGAGTAATAAATCAGACACACTGGGTTAAACAAATATTAAATAATGATACATTATTACACACACTCTAAACCGCACAACACATAAAATACAACAAAGAAGTTATTCTATTTACAAATAAGGCATCCGGAAAAACCCAGACTGCCACCATGAGACATTATGATACATTTTCTCTAATTTTAAGGGCACATTTCAGGTATTCCAAAAAGCTCTAGAACACCTATACAGGTCAACAAGAGAGATAAACCTGCATTCTAAACTAAACAGATTAAGACCTACTGTCAAATCTGTCTAAAATACATACACTAACCAGGAGAAACAGTTTTTAGCCTATGGGTTCTCTACATAGGAAATTAGACTTTACTAAAAAACCAACAGAATGGCTCTCTTAACAAGGTTCAAATACTTTACTAGAAACTGGTCTTTACAGAAGATCCAGAACACGGAACTCTTTACTCCCATGCTTCCCTTTTCTCTCTCCTGGTCTGTTCTTCACCTCCTTTTTCCTTCCCTTCTCTCCCTTTCTTTCATCCTGTGTTCTTGGACTGTTGATGACTTAATGTTTTACCCAGAACTTGATTAACCAAGGTAAATGTTGGTTCCCTAGATCAATGTGCCTCTGACCCACTATAACTCAAACACCTCAATTCCTTTCTTGCTTTGAAGCTCCCAAGAACTGAAAATATTGGCACAAGGTAGATGTTGTCCACCCTCAAATAGCTGTAATACTATAAATTACTACCTTTTATCCAAGCAATTTAAAAAATAATTGCAATAATTAATCAATTGCTATTCTAGATGTTCTTCGGGCATGCACTCTCATTACAATACTGCCTCCAATCTCCAGCTATACCCTTAGCAAGTGTCTCATTAAATGCATTAATCTATCTCCTTTAATATTAATGTCTCTAATTACTCTGATTTTCTACATAAGCCTTTAAGCTCATTAAGTACAGGCAATGTGTGCTTCATAAATGGCATGATCTTGGATTTCAATGCAGGCAAGCATGCATTTTCTCCAAGAATACAACAAGAATCAGAGTGGAGTACTACATACATAACCTGTTACTATAAAGAAATATATATTTGTTCCTTTTGTCCCACTTTTATTGCATAGCTGAACAGACTTTGATTAGATACATTGAAGTGCATTGACAATTCACAGAAGAAGCTTTTAAAATACACTTTCACCAGCACATGAAATAGGTTATATTTTTAACAATATTTAGAGTTTCTTGTAGAAGGGGCCAAGATAACCTGAATATCATGAATGGCTAAAGGCAGATGTTGTGCATGCTGCCAAAAAAACGCTATACAAGAGCTTCTTGCAAGTAACAACTGCACACTGAAATTAAGACTGACCAATGCACTACATGAATGTCTAAATAAAACCTGGACTTGCTTGACATGAGTGATGTAACCCTTCCTGCCATGACCTTGTTGGCCTAGATAGGGGTGTCTGCTAAGCAAATACGATTAACTTCAAGCAACAAAATTCATGGATACCTCTTTGTTAAAATAGTGCTGATCCCAAAGAAGGAATGACGAAATGACAAAATGAAACACAGGGTGGAAAATATATTGAAGACCTATTTTAAAATCTCAGGAACTGAACTAATCCTTCATCTGTTAAAAAGCAACTTTCAAGACAGTGGAGACACCCATATCCAAGTACAAGTATCAATGGGGCCTGGCTAGCTGAACATTATCCAGGCTGAGAAAGATGATATTAGCTGCATTTCCTGAGAGTAAAGTGAGAGATGTTTGGAGTTTGTGGCACGGTTCCTTTTCCAGCTGACAGGCACCATCACCTGTCAAGACTCACAAATAATACTGAGATAGGAGATGTGGTTTAGCTCACTCCACACTCCGATCTCCTGGCAGGTCACCCTGCAGGGAGCACTCTGTCTGACTGGGCTCGCAGTGTGAGCTCCTTTCAGCCACCGAAGATGATACACAATTGGGACTTGTAGTTTAAGGAAAATACAGCACAAATTACATGATCTAGTAATGCGTTGCAGATCTTCCTGACAGCCTTTCATGTTAACAGTCACATAACTTTCTAAATATACCAGTCCATGTGAAGAGACGAAGGATATCATTTTTACGTGTTCAACCTTATCATCTGATGGCGGAAGCACCCATATGTTGCACATCGCACCGCACACAGTATTTATACAGATCATGCACTGATACATTTAGCAATGCCACATATTTTTTACTTTTAATATCTAACCTTCAACACTCCCTCAAGGGTCATGTGGGAAAAAAGGAAATGTGGGTCTTTTTAAACCCCTCCAGTACAACAGATACTTTAAGACACATTCACAGTTGTCGCTTGCTTTACTTTTTGGAACATCTATAGATCTTATCCTCTCAAACCTAAAATAAATCAAATGACCCATTTGAACAGCCTGACATCTCTATATATACTATACTTAGCCATGATCCAGAGGTAACATTCACTAACTGACTCGCAGGAAATTAAAAATAATTTTAGCTAGCATCTTAAAATGTATTGTATTTATTCAGGAATTATCTACTTATGACTTCTAATAATAAAACATTTGAGTACATTTACTTTGGTGTGACCCAACAAAAATGTTCATGGTTCCTGGGAGTTCAGGGGTTAGTTAAACAGTACAAATTATCCTGCCTGGCTATAAAATTCAGAAACATTGTGATTTGTCTGTCTAAAATGTTAACTCATGCTCCTTCTTTTGCAATACTTCTTTCATTACATGAAACAATAAGTTATAAAAAAGTGTGTTTGTTATTGTGCATGTAATACAATAGTTGTGTGCATGAATAAAAGGCACACGTGTACAGTATTTTAAATACACTGTAGGAAAGACACAGCTCAGAGAAAGAGTGTGAATGCACTCTATGAATGTAGCACTCAGGAATGTTGCAATGAGAGCTTCAGGCACTCAGCCATCCCACCATCACAAGATTCCAGTGGGCCTACCAACTGACAGGCATCAGCCATTAATGAACCACACCTACAATGATTCAACAAATTAATGCAGAAATGGAGTATAGAATAAAAATAAAACATACCAAACTACAATTAAGTAGATTATACACGGCTAGAGATGCAGCCACTCAACATGGGTTAACATTCATTGCTGCGTGAGAGGTACTTCAGTATGGTGCACAGTACGTCACTGTGTGGTTCGCTGGCCAAAGACAATTGATAGGTGTTGCACTTGTGTGTTGTGAGATGATTGATCATTGAATTTGTTTCCCTACTGTGCATCTTTAAATCCACTTAATATGGAATTGTGTAAATAAAGGAAAATTTTGGTAGCTGACAATAAAAGTAACAAGTATAATGTCTCGGAGTGTCACACACAATATTAATTTATGAATACAGTATATACATTATGTACATACTGTAGCTGGTAGTTGCAGCAAAAAGGAAAAAAAGTACACAACAGTATTCAACCTTCTTCATAAAGATTTTCTGCATCAAACTCAGTCACTTACTGTGCTTATTTTTTGCAAAGTTTATATACTCAAAAAAAAGCTTTAATATTTTAACCTTTTCTATGAATAGTGGCTGTCATTGTTGTAAATAAAAGTGGTAGTATTCTTTTAAATCAGCTTAATAGGGACGTTAATATGAAGTCATGTACCTAAAGGAATTTTGGTAGGTCAAAATAAAAAAATAGTTTCTGAATAATATTGTAAATGACAATATATGGATCTAAATACAATATTTATACAGCTGGTAGTGGTACAGTACCATATTTCACTTTCTTGTTAAATAACTAACATTTTGACATTTTCATTTTATTTTTTAATTGGTTTTGTCATTGTAGGATAGTTATTTGCTTCAAAACACCTCCATAATACCAATGTCAAAAACATTTCCAAGTTACAAAACACCAGGAAAAAAAGCCTCGTTTGAATTCAAGAGGTGCATCAGTACAAGTACCTCTACTGTAATATATCACACCCATTGTCCATGAACACACTTTCACCTGGGTGCAACAAAGGTCAAAGCAGTGTCATAAATCAATGTGGCAATATGCCAAACTCAGAAATTTAAATCTTAAGAATTAATCTGTCCTTAATTGCTAGTTGTGTTTTTGATATTGTCAGCAGTGTGGTATTGCAAACATATTTGGGAGCATACTGTAGTAGTTTCTAAGCTGTAGTTTGCATTTTTGTTTCTCACTACTAATAGTTAATAAATGCATTTACAGTGTTTTTTCTGTTATCACAGATAATGCCCAGTGGGAAAGTGAAAAATTATTCATAAATTAGGGTAGAAATGTAGTCTGGCTGAATTTCACTTTTCACAGAACACCACATTACCACTCCTGTCCTTATTAACAGCATTATGGGATCTTTAACAACCAAGCAGTCTGGACCTTAGTGTAATATCTCATCCAAACAATGGCACCTCTTAGAGAACTGTCTGTCTTTGGTCACTATATTATTGGGATATTGGTTTAGAAGCACTGGTCCATCTACAGATCCACCAACACTACTTAAAGCAGTTACAGCACCTCCCCATCATTTCTAGGTTCAAACAACAACAGCAACAATAAACCTAAATCAGTTATTTCTATTGTTTAATACACAAAGACAAAAACGTATGAGATCCAAATATGTAATGATTATATGAATACTGAATTTTTGCCTATTTCCATTGAAATTTAACATGTAGCTTCATATCTGAACAATGTATCTGAAAACATCGACATTTTTTATACATTTTCTCTAATTTTAAGGGCACATTTCACAGTAAGCAAATAAGCACATACACTGCATTTATTACAATATTTACAGTACAATAAAACAGAAAATCTGGCCAATCACAGAAAAGGGTTGGCATTGAATTTTGAACACTCTTCCTTTCAGATTAACCTGTAGTTTTTTTATATCAGGAATAATATGCCCATCTCTTCTTCATATATTATTGCAAAATTATAAAATTTATCTTATAAGTCACCTGAGAGTTTCTCCATATTAAATAGGAAATGAAAATGGAATTAGTTCTAACTGCTTACACGTCTAGGTCACTGCATGCCAATCCACTTGGATCCCAAGTTAAGTTCAGTCATTTTCTTCCGGATATCAATGAACCGTAGGAAAACTAATACCCTGAGAAAATATTGGTTTGCAGCATGGAAAAGTGATACGTTCTTGGCACATTTCCAACTGCTTAGTCTTATTTTTTTAACTTTGAAAACAAATTATTTACAAATTCATTTAACTTAAGCAACAGTCAAACAAAGTTTTACTTTGTATTTTTTAATCAAATTGCCTGTAATCCAATAAATACAGTACAGTTATTCCAGGTACATAAGTAGAACAGAACTATAAGCTTTGATTCCGTAAAAAATAAATAAAACAGCAACCCTTTCCCAAAGTGTTATAATTCCATGACTGAATGCAATTCAGTATCGAGTATAAAGGTTGTATCTGATCAACCCAACTTGCAATATAAATTAATTTGGCAAAACCATGGCTAGTGATATTTCTATCCATGCACTCAATTAACTCACTGCGTTTGTTTAATAAGGGGTGTGCCTCCCAGTCGAAAAGATGAGCTCTCCTCTGTCACAGTCCCCTTACGGAGAAGAAACTTTTCTGTTAGATCGAACCCTGAAAAAACGAAGAGAGTTTTACTATAATGTAATAATACAATTTCTTTCTCTTTAAGCTACAACAGTCTCTAGGAATTTTCATTATAACGGTGTGTCTTTTCTTTGTGTAGTGATTAATTCTACTCATGGCAAAAAATGAACATTAGTTTCACTAAGATCTAAAGATCACTTTGTTAGTATGAAAAGATCCCAGGAAACATTCCTGTCCAAGGAACAAATGCATGTGTTAAATTTTCCATTAATGTTATGAAATGTATCTGTTATTATTGAGCTTACCTGTGACTTCATAGGGAGGCTTCTGGTTGTGTGAAAACCGTTTTTCTTCTACACTGATTGTAGGACATGTAGTATCTAGGAAAAAAGTATGTTATCAGGGTGAAGAACTGAGAAAAAGATCAATTTTAACAGGAATCAACTGTACAATATACATTTTAAGGAAAGGAGAATTATATATTCATAACTTAACATTTTGTAATCAGTTACAAAATGTAGAAATGTAATGCTCATTAGAACAACTTAAAAATATTCAAGCAGGTAGCTGTGTAGAGCTGCTGTGCGTCACCCAGGAGGGGCTGCATTTCATCAGTAAGTGAAGTTGGTCCCCTCCTACTGTATATGTTAAGTGTTTTTAAATGATGTGAACTGAAGGGTACTATTTAAATGCAGGTTATTAGAGGTGTAGTGCCCGTGGGGCCCAAGAGTCACATCGGCTTGTGTTTTTGTGTTTGATAGCTTCTCCATGTGTCCACTGTTAGACTTCTGGACATAAATATTGAGGATATTTACTTTCTAAATTCATATTAAAAATTATCCATAGGACTATGGGAAAAACCTCAGTTAATAAATGAAAACCTCAATATCAATTTCATTCCACTATGGCCTATATCACACAATCTGTAACCACTCCTATTCTGGCTAGGTTGATGGGTATTTGTAAAACTGTCTTGTGTGCCCATGTGCACGTGTGTGCACTGTGATAGGCTGGCATCCGGTCAGGGTCCTGTCACGCCTTGTGCCCTGTGCTCTCAGAATAGGCGCACAGAACAAGACAAGAAAAGAAAAAGGAAGAGGCCTAATGCAAAACAACTATTGCACTCCATGAGTGTCTTCAAGAAATTTAGGATAAACGTCTCCAGCCATGAACAACATAACATTAAGTTTGAAATCAAAGAGGCAACAGAATATCACTGAAATATTATATGAAAATCAGACAAAGAACTTAGTCACTTATCAGTAATAAAGTGAAAGATTTCCTACAGCCATTATTGGCAATGTATAGCAATGAATGCATAACAGTGGAATGGAGCAAAGTGTCTTCATAATAAAGCCCCAGATCAGAACCTACTGTAGGTAGACATTAATTCTGATTCTAATTAAGGATAGCACCAACCATTTCACAAATAACCTCAGGTTACCTCATACTGACACAAAATGCAATCTTTTATTCATACAGAAAAATTCAATTTTTCAAAGCAAAAACACATCCTAGTCCGTTTTATAATTTACCTGCACATAAATAGTAATTTATGTGACTGAAGGGTTAAGCCCTCATACCTACTATCCACCTCCAGATCAGACACAGAAATGATTCCTGTTCTCAATTACTAATGCAACCCAAAATCTTCAAGCAGACATCCAATCAGAAGTCATTCACAGGTACAGTCTTTTTCAGGGAGAGGGAACAGAGAAAAGGTCCCCTTAATTTCACACTGTCTGAGCTGGTGGATCTATCTCTTGATCTCCAAAGAGCCCTTCCCCTGCCTGCACCAATGTGATCAGACACTGTTCAGGATGATGGAGGATCTTAAGAACTACAGGGTACAGCAGAACAGACTGAACTTCCACCTCCCTCAGTAATATCCTCACTGCTGCAAATTTGTATCTGCTGGACTGTCGCTGGATTGGAGATCAGTTAGATATGCAGCATAAATCCTTCTGAGTGAACAGAGATAACTGTCCAATTTCTTTCAAAAAGAGCAGTGAACCAGAGAAACTTAAAAATGAACAAACAGGGCTTGTCTCGGCCACCAGAAGAACATTATTTGAGCTCTTTCCAAATAGGCTCATAATGCTCGATTAGGGAAACACTTGGCATTGTTGTGTTCAACAATCAAATAAGATCAGGTTCAGATTCCTCCAATAAACCCACAGTCTGGTTGTTGTGGTTTTTCCTTGATCCATTTTCCAGCTCAATAACCTTGTGCTCCAGACTTGCGTCGTATACATATATCTTCTTTTGTGCCCATTGCTCACCGGAGACATACAGTAGCCCAATCTGGAAACCAGTTGCTGAAGAGATGTCATCTCAGCATTTTCATTCTCAGCCACTGCCTCAATCTGGGTGGCCACTGCCGCCGTCTCCATTTTCACAAGCTGTGTTTGCTGATCCACAGACTGCTGCAGCAGTGTGGTCATTTCAGCTGGTTCAGGAGAGCAAAACTTTCAGTTTCTTCTTGTTTGAGGAGGAAGCAAAGGAGTCCAGCATTTTTCAGGTTCCCACCATCCCAGATCCTCCAGAAACAAAATTAAACAAAAATGAACCATGTGGGGTAATAGAAAAAGCAGAAAAAGGGAGCTGGCTGTCATTCTGTTATTCCTGTCAAGACATCCCTTAACCTCCTCTTGGTCACACTTTGAACACTCCTGCTCCCACTTGTGTTCGTGAGAAGACAACAGTGACTTTCCACCTTCTGTTTGGCAACACGAGAATCTGAAGGAGAACACACAGTCGCACACCTCCAGGGAATGTTTCCCATCCGTCACCATAATAAATTAATTGATGTTCAGGGATTTCAAGCAAGAACAGTTAATCAGATGTGCTGAAAATATTGAAGCATGTGTTTAAAAACTCAGAGGTGCCACAGGGAGCTGTGACCCCTCACGTGGCATGACTGCATGAAACGTGGTAACTTGAGCAAGAGCACATTGCTGACGTACTCCAGATACCAAATAGGCGTTGTATCTCTGATCGCGGGCCATCATATTACTCTAGATCAAGTAGCCAATCATTTCCTCAATGGATCAGCAAAGTAAAGTTAGTAAGCAAAGATCAGTTAAGATCAGCAAAGATCAGTTAGTAAGCTTTACTAACAAACAGTTTATGAATAAGGACTGCAGAAAAATAAAAAAAAATGTTTCATCAGAGTATGTTTTCTATTAGGAAAGATGTTTATCTATAAGAGGACTTTTACTTTTTGCTTCTAAGGACATTTAGACTTCACCTGGAATGACTCCTTGACTGCATATACTGTACATACCTGTTCTTTCACTGACGGCCATCCCAGAGGAAAAAGGAATGGTATTTCCAATCCAAAACAGAAAAATGCATTTTAAAAACAGACTCATTTCTCTGCTGACATGTGAAAGAGCTTCTTGAAAACCTGCAATAAAGTAAAAAAGCAAACGTTTATCCACTGACAAATTTTACATCTTGATATTGAAGACTGATAATATTTAATTATAAACAACGAGATCTTTCAGGCCTGGTGGTTTTCCGGCGTTTCATTACACAATAGCCTCTCAGAACCTGATTAGCTTAATATCTTATTCAAAGATGAATAATTCTTTATGGACAATGCTACTCTGTGAAACGCTAGACACATGACACAAAACAGGTCTTGCAGTTTACCGATGAGTGACAGTTGTGGCATTTGAAGTACGCACTGGAAAGTTGTAAAATAAGAGGTTCCGTTTTACATTTCACTTGTGAGTCTGAATCATCACCGTTACAAAAAGCATGGACATTTAATTTTTACATAGCCGAATATTAAAAAGGTAAACAGCTCTTTACAGAACTTAGTCAAGTCCATTTCCAAATAAATAAATCCTACATTGTCTATTACCACACAGTAAGTGTTTTAATGTTCAACTAAAACTGTTCTTAATCTTCCTCCGTTCCTGTTATTGAGGAAGGTCGTTGACCTACTTGCTGAACTTGAACCTGAAATACGACGCCGCTTTGATTTAATCTGTCTCGGATCCTCAGTGTAAACCCGATCCCATTAATAAATAGTGATTAGAAGGTCACGTGGACCATGCTTCCCGGGATGGCTTTTCAATGGAAAACTGCCAAAAACATTTAAAACGTGTCCATCACCCAATCCCATCCAAGGATGGGTTTCCTTTTTAACAACGTAAGACTTGTATTGAAAGAGGAGAAAAAAGGCATCTCTATAAAACATAAATAACATTGCCTTTAACAGAATAATTGTTTTAACCAAAAAAATATATTTCGTATATATTAAAGTTACTTTAAAATTAGTTTAGCTAGTGTAATGAACGTTTACGTACAGATTTCATTCCTAATCTCCTCTTTTTAAAATGTATTTTAGTATACAGTATGTCAAATAGCGACTAGAAAATACCGTTTTCAAAAGTGTCTTCCCACAAATCCAGACAATGCACAATTACTAGCTACTCATTCTGTGTATAAAGAGCACCAAGCCGATAATAAATGCAAAAGCTAAAATGACACTGCAGGATCGTGCTTCTTCCTAAAGGAATGCTATTAAGCCAAGTTTTCAGGTAGCTCTACTATAGGGCACCGACTTAACAGTGAGCCAAGGTATAGTGGAGTATAATATTTTAATTATCTAAAACCAATAATTCACCAAAAAAAATGTCATATGCCTTGAAAATATTAATTAATATTTATTAATTGATACAAATGTAGATTGCTATTCTCAAGGAGAAAGAAAATAATGTGAATTAAAGCTCACCTTTTCTGTGGAAGTTTTCTCTCAAGAATAAAATACTACAGGAAGCGGCCACACGTTTCACAGCTGCGATTCCGAAGTAGACAGCAAATAAAAAAGTGAGAATGGGATCTCCCGCTGGATCCCTGTCCTTATTAGTCACACTGGCTGACCCTCCCACTCACTCTTCACTAAAATACACTAGACAGGACAGCCACCAGCACGGGCATTGAGAAAATTAAAGGTGTATGCGTCCTCTGCCCATGACCAAGAACAGAAAACAACAAGAGAAAAGGACTTGCAGTTTAAAAGTGAGGAAGAGAGGGCGCATCCTGAGCTTTGGGCTTTGGTCTCTTGATGGCAGGAACAGCTTCCATGACCGTGCTAACTAAACAAAGCAACACAACAATCGAGCGTGGAGTCCCTTTCTTTCCGCCAGTTTAATTAGAGGCTCCTCATGTTATTTGAAGGAAAAAAAGGCAATGATAGCATTTTTCCCAATTAGGACAGTTAGTACAAAATATTCGCATCGTATCGTACTACATTTTCGTGCATGTAATATTTTTAAAATGCCAAATAATTTGGAATTAACATTTAAACAATTACATAATCATAACCGACTTTTGCTTAAATTATTTATTGACATACAGCGTTTGGATAGTGTTAAAATGAAGTTAATTAGGGGGAAGATCACAGCTTGCTGTCTGAAGATGTTAGGCGATTTTCACATAAGTCACAGTCCAAACGAAGAGCATAAGACTCACCTGCACAAAGACGGTCGCTTATGCGCTGTGAGATGTAACATGAAAAGTAGCAGCTGTATACCAATTAACAGAATGCCTTTGATCAACGTGCTTTAATTTTGTGAGTAGAGGTCTCATTTACTCTACATTTAGAACTGCTTTATTATTATTATCATTATTATTGGTGTTGTTGTTAATCATGATATAATATCGGTCATAATAATATCTGTAAAATGTTGTTTTCTGAGGTTAACAAGAAAGTGTTACATTGGAGTTCTCTTTCATGACTTGCAAATTTAAGACTGCTTTTTGATTGTCTCTTTCTCCACGGGACAATTTTGTGTCATAAATCATAATTTTCTTTTACCATCATTAACTATTTTGTTACTTTGTAAGAAATCATTATTTTGTGAAACATGAAAGTAGTTATATGGCATTTTGTTGCATTCCTAAAGTAAGAGAATGCAGGTAAAGAAGAACCATGTTCATAGCTGTCACTTTCTGAATTCTGTGCATAGAAGAATTGTACAGTAAATATTTATTCACTTGAAAACCTGTCTGGGGTGAATGTGGAAATTCTTATACCTCTGACACGGTTTCCCATGTGTGGCTAAATTAGAATTGGTACTCTTGAAAGTTGTTTGAATCCTACTGGAGTTTAGGATTTAACACAGCTGCAAATTAGACTCATTACAACAAAACATGCTCAGTGGCTTAGAACCTTTTTCACAAAACTGAAACTGATCTCAGCATCTTGTGAAATGTGGCTTCATTAACATTCTCTCTAGTGACAGGTGGCACATGCTTGGGACCAGCTAGCAAATTAAAAATGAGGAAATGGACAAATTCAAGTCTGTTTCTATTGATCTTATATATCTTTAAAAGAAGATACATTGGACACAAAATACAGGGAAATAAATGTATTTATACTGTGATAAGATACTAAATTTCTTTATAAATGATAAGATATAGTATTTTATTATTTTAAGATTAAGTATCATAATGTTAAGATAACAGTCAATCCTGTAAGTGTCAGCATGCTTATGGGAGGTGATAAAAAACTGTCAGACCCAGAGAAAACCCAGGTGGAGGATCATGTAAGATCCACACTGAAATTGAACCCAAATTGAACATAGGAGTCCATGTCACTGTGCCACCATTATCAGGGTTATAAGGGTTTATAGGGATAGCTGGAAAAGTAGATATTTTAATTTATATTTCAAGGTTCAGTCTTCACAAGAATAAGTTATGAGTTCAATAACCTAAAATATAATACTGTATGTATTCTAATGGAGGTGTCCTAAAACTTCAAATGAGATTAAAAGTTGTGGCATTAGTCAAGAAGTCCATAATATGAATAATCTGCAGAACAGTATGCTGAAGGATGGCTCCTTTAAAGGTGGATAATTTTGACAGACAAATCTCAGAGGGGACAGATAACTCTTTTTGATCAATCACTATTAAAAAATGAATGTGGTCAATAATATATAAAATTATCTAGTTCTTATAGAATAAAATGTTTTGAATATTCTATTTTTAATAGTAATTAGCAGTTTTTGTATTGACATTGTTATGTACAGTATCTACTACATGATGTACTTGTGCATGAGTGCAGCCATTAAAGTGTTGTTTCACCTCAAAGAAAGAAGAAAACATATTTTTTATAATATACTGTATAATATATTTACAGTTTTAATAATGCTACATTGCTATTAATCTTTTTGCAAGTTATGTTAATGCACTCATTAAAAACTGTCATTAAAAAATCTTAAGAACATAAGAGAGGTTACAAACAAGAGGAGGGCTGATCTAGATCATTAAGTAGTTAGTAGCTAATTAATCCAAGGATCTCAATCAGCTTTGTCTTAAATGAAGCCATACTGTAGTACTGGCTTCAACGACATGGCTGAGCAAATCCACACTCCTACAAATAAAGAGAAGTTGTCATGCTCACCCTTTTGGAATGCTGTGTAGCTAGCTAATATTACCACGGTAGTCAGTCAGTGCCAAATGCTGTGATTACATGATCCACAGGAAGCCTGTTCCACCTGAATGCAATTTACGACCACGCCCATGGATTAGGGTACTTAACGTCTGGCTTGGCACTTCTCTAGGCCTTGTTGGTATAAATGTTTGTAGCCTTTTTGAGTTCTTGAGGTTACTGCCTTGGAATCTTGACCTTGTCTCTTGCACTTCTGAAGTGTTATTTACTTTGCTATGAACCTTGCCTGCTTGTCTCGATGCCACTTTTGAAATTACTGTTTGTACTGTTGTTCTGTGTCACCTGGCTTTGAACCTCGCTTGTTTCTTAACTTCGGATTTGGACTGTGTTTTGCTTGCCTTTGCCAGTTAAATTGCTTATTCAGCCCAATATGCTGCTTACGTCTGTGAGCAGCAGATATTACAGAGGTACTGAAAAATTAGAGCAGTTGGAAGTTTCAAACCTACTGCTGCTGATGCCATTGTGATCAACACACCACAATTTAGATCACAAAATTCTTCTTTGCTTTGGAGTTACATCCTAGACATATTTTGAAATATTGATGTAGTAATTAGTTTAACATAAATTTAGTGTGGTATTCTAATAAATGTGCATCACATGAGATGTTTGTCCTCATCCAAGATTTGATCTGCCATTTCCAAATTTCCCAGCATCTCAACAAACAAGTCAATCTACTGGGCTAAAACACAACTTATGTCTCCCAATAGCTTGCACATGTTGCAACAGTTAAGTTAATGTAAGAGGACCAAACTATCCCCTTTGCACTCTTATATCTTGTCAGTACTACTACTGCAAGGAGAACAAGTGGGACACTGCAGTTGGTATAAACATGAACATTGT